TTTTACATGTATTGGAGGTGCTTGGCATGGTAAAAAAGAACTGCTAGCACCACTTTGTGGCCAAATAATTTTAGAGATGGAGAAAAGTAGCATTCTAAATTGTTTGCATTTTGTCTAGTATCTGCCACTTTTCAGGACTGAACAATGCTGGAATCAGTCTTCCTTTTAATAAGGATTAGTAGCAAGATGGAGAGTACTTCTCTGTTTTATAGATCTGCGTGTTTATTGGGTCTGGAGCACCCATGCTAGGTAATAACATGCTCTAATGAGGTTTCAGGATGGTTCTTAATGACCAAATTAAATATCGCTATCAATTGGTAGTATTAATTGCTGTATTTGTTCACATTAACATAAGGATCAAGAATATTGAATTTACCTGCTTTTTTCCCCAGATCTCACAGCTAATGCTTAGACACATGGAGAAGTCATTTCACAATTAAATGTCTGTCTGGAGCTTTCTCCTCTCTCTGGCCTTCCTGGATGGCCCATTTAGCCCACAACAGTTTAATAACAAGATGAAGTTGTAGGTATTTCTACCTTTTTTTTTTTTTTTTTTCAGTCTTGTAGTGGATATTTCTGAAGGCAGAAAAAGTTCAAAACTTTTACTTAAAGCCACAGTAATTTTAACTCATCAGTTTTAACACTCTTGAAAAATACCTGATTAATCAAGGAACCTAGAAAGAGCTCATTTTCCTTGGCAAACGGAATAGTGAAAACAAGTGTTTAAAAGACTTACTACTGTGAGGAAAAGTAAGAATAGTGACATGAGCTAAGGAGACACATTGAGTATAGGCACAAACAATGCAATGTGTCTTTAATAGAGGTCAGAGGACTTTACAAGCATTTCTTGACAAATTGAAAAGTCAAGGTAGTAGTAGGCTTTGTGTTCCTTTCAGGGAAAATGAGTAAGAAATATTTTAGTGCTGACTGACAGATTTTTACGAATTTAACATGTAGAAGGCTGAAGGACAAAAAAAACTGACAAAGATTTTTTCCACTGAGTTAGTATGTCCTGTTGATGGAAAGTGTAGGCTTTTTATGTGTAGAAACATTTCCTTATAAATAGAAAGCTGAAAATGATATTGTTGCTAGTTATTTTATAGAAAATTGAACCAATTTTGAGTAACAATCAAATAGGCTAGCAAATAAGTCTAACTACATTTAATACCCTCAGAGAATGTGCAAAGTTGTAATGTTCATGGAATATTGTAAACTATAAATTATTACAATAAATTGGTTTTTTTGAGCTTGTTTGAAAGGTTAGAGAAGAAGCTTGCCCAGTATAAACGAGGCAGAATTTAACCTGTGCTTTAAGATCACCTACAAGCTGCTATTGGGTACCTTGTACCAAACAGATTTATGAATGTTGTTACAGTGAAATCCTCTCATAGGAAAAAATTTCACTACCAGTTGAGTAGTTTTCTTATAATTAGCCTTGCCTGCGTTAATTATAATTTACACATTGCGATACACTGAAACAATTCAGAACTTTTGGTTTTGTGTATCTGCTTCTAAGCTAACTATAGACAATTTCCTTTCCCATTACATTAAAATACGCACTTTTCATTCTTGCATAAAATATTATTTTTAATTATTATACAAATAGCGTATAATAACAAAATGAGGAGGCACATATTCAACTGCACTTTCTTTGCCTTTTGTCAGTTAATTATTACTAGTCCCAGTTCAAAGCTCCCAACTGCAGTGTTGTTTTCTAATCCATGAACATCTATATGTTTAAATGCAAGTGAAATTTTTTATTAGAATCTGACCATGGAATGCATTTGGTACCAGTCATTCCAGCTGCAGGTATTGGAAGATGATGACATTGCGGTGCAGATACAATTGGACATTAGGGGTCCACACCTTATTCATAAATAGGTCAGTTAAGTTGTGTGTATGGAGAGACCTCCTTACTATTTATCCCAAGATAAATTCTTCAGGTAAAAAGGAACAAATACAACACAGCAGACTAATTATCCTCAAAATCCTCATTCTTGCTGAATATTACTTAGGGCAGAGAAAGACAGGACTTTATGAAAGGGGAATTGTGCATTAAATAGTACAGTGCAGGGTTTCACTTAATTAAAAGTACAGGCTGAAGATTCTTGCATCTAGATCTCGGAAGTGGTCATAATTTTAATTTGAAAGAAAAAAAAAAGACAAAAAACCAAGGAAGATTTTGCTATAGCTGTTTACCAGTAATAGAAAATATGAAAAAAAAAATGCAAAAAATCACTTCTATTGTGCCCCAGAATAATCTCTTTTTATTTCACTAGGAAGCTGGAAGTGTCCAGTTCAAGTCCTCAAGGAAAACTCACATGGGGTGGTTTTTTGAGTGTTTTCTTGGGAAGTGGTGCAATTTCATTGCAGGATATTCCAAAACAGCAGTATTTTTTACAAGCATACAAGGAGATATAATGGGCAGCATTTGGTCTACAGGTGTTTGTTTGTGGAAGAGCTGAACTTGAAAAAAATCTCTGAGAAGGCTTTTCATAAGGGTTCCCTTATGGAAGGAAAGAACAGTTAGCATGAGTGAGACAGGTTTGCTTCCTTGTAGGCATACAGTGCAGGTATATTGAAACATAACCAGAACTCAGTTCTCAATGGAATTCTGGGATTCTGACACATCTTTCTTTTTCAAAATGAAACCAAGCTAATTTTTTTTAAATATGTGGAATTAGTTTTCTTACCAAACCACTTAGAATCTGGTTGAAACATTTTAACACTATAGAATTATTTTATGCTGGCTTTTTTTTTTTTTAATTGGTAATACTATAATAAGCGTTAAAAGCAAAAGTAGATTTAACATGAAAAAGCTAAATAAGGCATTAATGCAGATCTATAGATTTTTTACAGCTGCTTAGGTCTTCCATGGCTGAAAGTTGAAAAGTATTCACCACAGTGGAAAAATGGCTTACAAACTCAGCCGCATTGTCATAATTTTCCTTTTCCTATTCATCAGATTTTCAAGATGAAGGAATACATTGCATTGCACAGAAATAGGATACTGATCAAATAAGTTTGTAATCTGAGACATTTCTACTACTTCAGTGAAGATGTTAGCAGTCCTTTTATGTTTATTAACATGAAGTCTTTTGTAAATTTTTCCTCCTCAAAAAAATTACTTAATACCTAAATAAGCTCTAGTATCCTTTTAAACTGGTTTTAATTTAACGAAAAATTCCTTGTTAAAATCTTGTTTAGAGTCTCATTTGTCATATAAATTGTGCGTCCTTTTTTTCCTCAAATTTACTAAAATATTTGTCTCTGTTATAACCTGCAGCAGTACCACAGACTAATTCACACAGAAAGGCTCATCACTTCATATACCTTGGTAGTTGTTTTTTGAGAGAGATTAAAGGTATTTTTATATAATTAATGATTTTGAGACTATTATGTTGCCATGTAGTTACATGACACCAGGCATCACATTCCTTATTCCCATGGGTTTGTTCATATTTTAAAATTACTTTTGTTACCCATGTCAATACCCTCTGTTTCAGCTTTAGTTCATGTGCTGTGAAGCTGCAGAAATGAATCCAAAGTTCAAGGCAAGAATATACAGGCATGGTCTGAATGCATGTGTTTTCCATTTTGAGGTGTGTTTTTCACTGACCTGTGAGTAGCACTAGATCATTTTCCTGAATTGTTCAAGTTAATCTAGAATGCAGCAAGGAAATTAGTCCTTTCCGTTGGAATTGCCATGTACTATTTAAGCTTGGCTATGTTGGGAATTGTAGGGTGTCTCTCACTTGTTAGTTGTTGGTCCAGATCTAGTCCATACCAACAGGGAGGGAGAGATAACAGCATCTGGTGGAGAAGTCTATGTAAAACAGGTTGCTGATCTTTTTCAACAAGTGTTTTTACCATACCAGTTGTTGTCACAACAATAGACAATGTCAGAAAAAGAATGCACTGAACTACATAGACCAAAATAGGTCTACTCCTGCTTACGGTACTTCAAAGAAGGATAAAGCAGCATGATGGGACATTGTGAGGGAATTACAATTGCTGCTGTTTGTGAAAGATCTGTGAATAACCAGAGTACTTTTGGGAAAAATTGCAAAATAACGTCTTTCACTAGCAATAATTTCACCAAAAAGAAACAACAAATGTGAAGCTAACATTCTTTAAGCATGCTGAAAATAAAAGAACTTACCATGTAATCTTGTTGTGCCATATGCACGCTTCACGTGTTTTCATGAAAAAAATTGTCTTATTTTAAAATATTTTTCTGTCTGCTTTATCAGCCATTTGATACAAATCTGTGAAAGGAAATGCTAAATGAATTCCAAAAAAAAAAAAAAAAAGCACCTTAGTTTTAAAGTATCTAGCTCAATTAAGTGTCAGTAATGTTTCTGACTCTGAGGCTTGAAATTCTGGAGTATGAGCTTCCTTTTTAAAGCATCTCTTTTGGAACGTCACTGCTACTAGGAAGAGTCATGGTCAGATAAGGCAGAGACATGCTTTGAAAGGACTTCTGTTTTTGTGTAGGAAATCAGGGAAAATGTACAAGGGAGAGTGTCAAGGATGATAGCACACCTCTACTGTAAGGGAGAGTCATTTGATTTAATTGATTACCAGGGAGCTCTCAGCAGAAACTGTCTCACTGGAAACAGCTATTATCTAGGCAATATTTTAATTTGTTCTTGGTTAAATAGTTGGACTTAAGGGGCTCTTTGTCATGGGAGTGTGGTCTTACCCAGTAGAAGTTTCTTGTCTTTATGTTATCCAGACTATTTTTCCCAGCAGACACACTGGTAACTGCTACTTCTGCCTGTGAAACTGTGTCAAAGAATGTAGAATGCCACCACTGAAATCTCTGTCACTAAAACCATAATATGCTGAGAAATCCCTCCTAGCAGAAATACTGTTTTAAATGGTGATAACTTTCAGGCCTCTAAATGTGATACATGTTTTCCAGGGTTTATATTATTATTGTGCAGGTATATTACTTTTCTATGTGTAGTTGATTAAAATGGATTTTTTCCTGTTAGGAATGGAATTCCACTGTGAAGCAACTGGAAGCTGAAGCACTTAAGATCTTGCTTTCAGAGGACTATACAGAAAAAGAACATCTAAAGCTTTCAAATCAGAAAATCTGTCTGTTGCGAGAAGAAGTGTGTTTCCATATGGAAGAAAGGAAAGCGCTGCTACAAGAGGCCAATGACTTTTTTCATACTGCTGGCAAGGTTGGTAAGAAGCCAAGTCTGTAATAATAACCTGATAATACACCTGTCAGTGTGCTCTTGAAGGCTGATACACATGAGATTATGCAGAGTTTGCTAAAAATTTGGAATGGAAAATTACAAATCTGATTACCCTTTAATATGACCTTAGCCTCAAACTTCTATACAAAATGGCAAATGCATTTAAAAAAAAAAAAAAGAATTAAAAAAAAAAAAAGTATATTGAGAACACTAAGTTTCCAAAATAAGGGAACTAATTTTTATTTTGAGCACCAGGTGGGGCTGTAATCACATTTGTCTTTAACCTGCACTATGCTCATTCAGTATTTTTTTAACAACATGTAAACAACACTTGGTGTTGAAATTATTTACAGACCCTTGAAGTGAGAGATATCTTTTACTCTAATAAGTCTGATCTTTCTTGATTTTATTTATAATAAGGAATCTGAGATGAGCTAATGGAAACAGTGTTAAAACTGTTGCTGGTAGTCAACCCCCTTCTAGTTTGGACAAGGAGCTATGCAAATATAGGTCTATTGCTTTGAGAGCAAAGGTAGCATCTTTTCAGAATGCAGGGCTGTGCTTTGTGGAAGAACCTGATGAAGGCGGCACTAGATCAGGTGTGTCTCCACAGCATGCCATTACACCTGTTATGTGTAAGAGTGAACAAAACACTATAGTTACTATAGTTCAGAAAAGAGACTTTTTCACTTGTTCTCAGGTTATGCCTGAACCTCTGGGCTGTCTTTACACGTAAAGGGCAGATGAGCAAAATAGAATATTAGTTGTTTTGAACTAGCCCAAAGATAACTCCTTTTAGATCTTGTGTATCTCATTCTCATTTTAATTTTTGATGAATTCGGGAAAATTAAAACACAGAAGTTGTGTGTGTGCTCTTGAGTTCTGGTGTACATTTGGCTGCATTCTGTTGTCTATTTGGCTGCATTAAGCAACATTTTTCTGCATGTTTGCAAGCTTCTTGGCTTTTTGTGTAATCATGTACATTCCTTGCTAAGCTTTCCTTTAAATATCAATCCGTTTCTATGTCTATGTACTTACCTTAAGTTTGACTTTCTGCAGAGGGATCTCTGTGTAGCTATCCTCTGAGAATACTTCAGAAATGATACATGGAATAGTCTGAGATTTCTTTGGTATGGCAAAAGCTTGAAAACACTCACTTGGATAGCTTTAAGTAAATAAATAAGGTGCTTACTGAGTACAGTGTGTTTGCAGATTCACGTTTTTAGTTAGCTATGGAGTATCTTGTACTGTATAAGCAGGTGCATAAGTTACTTCAAAATTCACCTTTTGATTTTGAACTCCAGGACACACATACTTTCTTCCAACTACTTTAGATGCTGGGATATTTTTCCTCCTATGTACCATTTCAAAATTAAATATCGTTCAAGACAGTATAGATAGTAACTAGCTTTAAAGTGACTATACGGGAGGGACTTAGAGGTGGAGTATTCTTGGCATGGAGCTGTGGGGATTGGAATGCAGACCTCTGCATGATCCAGTGAAACTTATTTTGCTTAGCCTTCTAGACTCTTTTTCCTTGTTAATGGAATTTTCAGGTTTGAATATGACGTTAGTCAATGATTTTGTGGTGATACATTTAGTATTGGTAAAAATAAATAAATACATAAACAGAGGTCCATATTTCTGAGTAGAAGCGTTGCTGAAAAATCTTTTACTTTCTTTTGATCTTGGTAATTAGTAAAGCATAAGGAACTACAGAGAAACAATTGAACAGGCACAGGACTTTGAAAGTAAGACAAGTATATGGAGCCCGATGACAATAGAGAAGCAGAGGATGTACAGAGGGATTATGTCCTTTATTTCCTTGAAAAGATTTCAAAACTATGATAAGTGGATAAGGAAGACAGACTGAACTAAAATAAAACTGAAGCAAAATCAAAGAATTAAAGAGGAAAAAAAAAAGAACCACAACAAAATTCACCATTCATGTGAATGTATTCACCATACACAAACACAAAACCAAACAGACTGGGAAAAGCGCGTTGCATGATTTTTTGTTGCTTTTTAAAAATGACTTAAAATGGATCTCAATCATGAAGAATGGTCAATGTAACCATTAACAAGGAAATTTAGAGAGAAATATTAAGATCCTTTTTGAGTGACATTTGGATTTATTACAAAGTGGTTTTTTAATAACAGGAAACTCCCAGAATGGCTCAGGAAAGAGGGATATTATTTCTGCTCATAGGAGTTATGCCCATGTTATCTTCAGCATGTTTGCATTCATTTTAATTACAGCTTGTAAGGTTTATGTCATTTTGCTAGCATAACTATTGTTTTTCCCTACTAATCTTCCATGCTGAAATGAAAAAAACCCTGTCATTAGTGTTAAGCATTTAGATCACTAATTATAGCTCTTCTGCATCTTTAACTTGTGAATATATTAGTTGCAAAGTATTTTTGTGTTATCAGCTGATAGATCAAGTGATACAATTTCTAAAACCATATCATTTAATTTATGCTCTGGTACCACAGTTGCATGTAGATGTGATGCTTTCCTCCCATTTTCTATTGTCTATGCCATAATATGCTTATGCTATAAAAAAAGATCAGAGATACACATATATGCTAATTCTTGAAAAGAATCTGAGACAGAAGTAGAAGGCTGGCTTTGTGTGGATTGTTTAATGTTGATTTCGTTGACCTCTTGAAAGTCTGAATTTAGGGCCTGATGTTGCTATTCTGGGAAGAATAGGGAAGGGTATAAAACTACCAATGACTGCAGCAGCTGCTAGGGAATAAGTCAGTCCAGATAATATCTTGCTGTAACCAGGCTTCCTACTTGCAACTGAAATTGAACATGAGGAAACATAAATCTTTACTTGTAGTATCAGCCTTAATTGATCGAAGTAGCAACAGCACTAAGAATGCAGGCAATGCAACCCAATAAAGTTGTCTGTCATCCTTGAAGGTGCAGGTTGATGAACACACAAAGCACTCAGATATGGTTAGGAAGAGAAGCTGCAGAGAACACCTGATTTTTTTTTTTTTTTCTCCCTATCCTGGTTCTCTTCTAAGTAATCTCTTGTCCAGTTGCCATTCTGCTCATGTTGCTCTTTGATAAATGTAACAAAAGCAGTAGTATGTACCATTTTGATTTATTCATGATAAATTTCCCTGTTGTGTTTTAGCAAGACTCAAAACATGTTCTTACATTTGCTGCTTGCCTAGTTAAATATGCTAACTAGTAATACTTATTATAAGTCTGGCTGAGTGGTTAACTCCTTCTGAAATGCTTATAGATCCATAATCATTCTTGAACATTTTATAACTTTCCTATGACTCTTTAATTAATATTATTAAGTATGGTCCTGAAGACTGGAATTCATTATACAGAACATATTACACAAAATAAATAAACTTCACTTAGTTCCTGAGTTCATGTGAATGGCCTCTATTTACAGAAAAATTCTTTGAGATTAGCATAGGTCCATGAATCTATGAGTTTCCAAAGATGATTGTAATTCCTGTCTTCTGAAGTTCATGGCCTTTTTTATACTTAATGATGACTAAAAGGATTTCTTGTTTTAGGAAAAGTCCTTCCTGGGTACCTTCAATTATGCTCCTCCTCTGATGGAGTGTTCTTGTTCTTAGAAAATTTTCTTTACAGTCAGGATATGGGTTTTTTGTTTGTTTTTGTTTGTTTGTTTGTTTGTTTTATTTAAATGCTGAATCACTTATTCTGCAAGCAAAAATAACCTGGCAGAGACAATAAAATAGTATGCATGTCCTATTTTAATCCATTTTGCATAGAAGTTGAATTACTTTTTCTCATCCTCTTTTCTTTATTTTCCTTCATTTCTTTTGCATAGATTTCAGTTGTTTGAGAGTGTTCAGGCATCTCTCCTTGCTATATTGAGTCGGCAATACAGGGTTCATTCTCAGTTGCTGAGTTCTTGGTTCACATGTAATATGCTGTAGCAAGCTGGATCAATCATATTGTCCCCTGACAATCTCGTTGAATTTTCGCTTTTCAACTGAAAAAACCTTGCAAAATTCTTTAAAGTCAAATTTAGTCTGCCTCAAAGTTCTTTTGTTCTTCTGATGTGGTAATTTTAAAGATGACATAATTAAGGATAGTATTTTAGCATGTATATGGCTTTGTTTTCTCTCAGAATTCTTGTCAGTGGTGAACTGAGGCTTCAAGAGCAATATGTTTTTGGATTGTAAGTCTGCACAATTGTTCACTGAGCTAAAGCTTAGAGTATATACAGAGAGTTACAAAGTCAGAACACAGGTTTGCTGTTGTACAAACAGTTGATTTCCTTTTAAAAATATGTATACAGAGTAGTCCATGTTATAGTCATATTTTTAATTTGTTACATAAATGTATATGTTCAATGAGAAATGAATGCTATTAGACATTGTCTACTGCTTTGCTTTATTAAGATTTCACATTTTTCTGCTGTTTAGAGTAACAATAAAATCTGTGTAAGAGAATACAGTGCTACTGCTATGAGGCTAATTATGCACAGTAGGTTTGGGCACGTTTCTATTTTACTAATATTAGTATTTACTAACTTTAATAATGGAGTGTTTCAGTGTTGTCCTTACTCTGTCTAAAAAGACAGGAGTTTTTTTTAGAGTACTTTTGTCATTTTCTTCTGGTATGAATGAGAAACTTTTGCTTGCACTAAAGGAAGACAGAGAATAGGTATAACAAAACCAAAGCAGCATATGTGCAAAATCAAAGCTTACGTTTTTAACGAAAATATATTTAATTATAATTTACTTGCTGGGTATACATTTGATATATTTATAACATTAAAAAGAAGAATTTTGGTAAAACTCTTTGAGTGCTCTTCAGTAAAACTTTGAGTGATAATGCGCTGTATTACTCTCATTATTTTGGTTCTGCTTTACTATGTCAAATTGGCCTATTGCTGAAAAAATGCAATAGTTTTAAATTCAAAAAGTAATCATGATTTTGCATGCCCATACTTACATTAACTTTTGTTGAATTATACCTGTGGTCTTCTGTGACCTGCAAAGTCAATATCAGGCCCTAAATTAAAATATTGTTTTTTATTTGTGAAGAAATGTCAAATATTAAATGTCCATTGATCATCTATTTATGTAAAAGAATATACATGTACATTTTAAATAGAAATATTGACAGCAGATGCTTTTTTTTTTTTTACAGGTACTTGATGGTCTTGAAGATATTGAGAATTACCTTAAAATCTTTAATTCAGAAGGCTTACATTTGCCTATCTTGACAATGAAATATGAGGAATTACAGGAAGCAATTAAAGGCTGCACAGAGAGTACCTTGCAAAAGGGACAAACTTTAGTTAATAAAGCACATTCTCACAGGTATTCCCTCCATTTTTGCATATCTGCTGCATTTTTCCATATCTACATGTTGCTTTATAACTCGACTAGTTAGAATCAGACTGCATTTAGAGCCAGTGTAGTTAATTAAGTAGATGTGCATTTAAATGGCCTGAAACTCAAAGTTTCTGCCATACTTATCTGTTGGTATTTATACAAACCAATCTTTTTAACAAAAACCTTTAGGAATACTACATGCTACCTGTAAGAGTGGTGTCAAATAGTGAAACTGATATGTTAGGGAGGTGTTCAGTAACAACGGTTTACTTAAAATTTTGGAAAAGTAAATGTATGTAAATGAAAATTAAAATATCACTGGCTATGAACACTCCCTGCTGCCCAATATAATCCTTTTAGACCTTTTTGAAAGTCATCACTATAACAATTGTGATGTGATTTGATGCAAGACAAAACCACAGGTGTTAAGCCAAGTGCAGAAAATATGGAAGTTTTTCCACATCTTAATAGTTTTAATTAATGAATTTTTTTTTCTTCCAAATCTTTTCTTAACTACAGTGATGATGTACTCCACAGATATGATTTTTACACTGATGTAAAGCATGACTTAGTTTAGAATCAGTCCTATATATCTCCTACTTTCCAGGTCTTAGTAGGAGGCTGGTGCAATAAGAATGAAGACCATTTATACTAATGAGTTCTACTTCAAGACAGAGCAAGTGACCATGGCTGATGGCTGGCTAGTGGTCAGCTTAGCTCTATCTTCCTATTACATGCTTTTGTCCTTAATTATTTCTGAACTTTGAATAGCTTTACTTCAACACAGCAACTGAAAGTCTAGATAAGATTTTCATTTCATCTCATGACCTTGCAAAAAATTTTATCTAAAGCACCTTCACCTGTCACCCCAGATGTAATTGGCTTGAACCTAGCAAAGGGATGACATAGAAAATTCAAGTAGAACGCTGTTTTGGGAACACATGCAGCTGGCTTTACAGCTATTGTTACTGCTTCAACATCTCCTGATATTTTAATTAAAAGGAAAGGAAAGGGATTTTCCTCAGTGAAACTTTGACTTTGGTTCCTAAGCCAGCCGTAATTCTAGAACACATGCTGCTGTTCTCTAGCACTTGATGTTCTGCTAGATGTTACCTCAACAGAAGCAGATGTTGTGCTTCAAATTATGTCTGCACAGCATTGATTAACGTTAGGAACACTAAAGATCTTGACAGAATGAATCCTTAGAATAACAAGTAATTAATTTTCTTTCTTCCTCATTAAGAATTTTTAAAAAATGTTTAAACAGTCCAAATCAGTAGTGGGGTAGTAAGATATCATAGGTACGCATCAAGAAGAAGGTGATGAATTTGTCAAAATAACCCTATCAGTCACTTCTGGTAAAATTCAATAAAAACGGGTAATGCCACAGGCACATCTCCTGTGTGCCAAAGCGCTGCTCAAGCTATTCTATAAATAAATAAAGAAGGTAATATTTCCACCTAGAATACATTATAAATTAAAAAACGGCAAAGCATTACAGCTGAAGCAGCAGTGATTTAGAGAAGGAAGGTGAAACTTAAAACTATATCAATAGGCAATATCACTAGAAATATGTTTTGCTGTTTCTGAAGAACAGTGAAAAATCCCAGGCTGTCAAATATTTTAAATGGCTACTTGCATCGTAAAAATAAATAAGTCCCTTTCTAAGAAAGCAAACAGAGAATATTATGGCTTTTCAGTTTTTCGCTGCTGCTTTCAGGCCTCATTGCCCAAATGTAATGAATTTGCCATATATTTCAGTGAGTAGTGCTAGTACTTCTGTGCAGGTGGAACACTTTATATTCCTAGACATGGGCTTGAGGATTACAATCATGGAATCATTTAAATTGCCAAGGAACTCTGGAGGTCATTTGGTGCAATCCCTTGCTCAAAACCTGTCAGTTCAATTAGGTTGCCTAGGGCCAAATTTTGAGTATCTCCAATGCTGGAGATTCCATAGCATCTCTGGGAAACCTGTTCTACTGCTTAAGCACTCTCTTTGTGAAACATGTTTTTCTTATATCTCGCCAAAATTTCTGTTCCTGCAACTTGTGAGCATTGCCTCTTGCCCTTTTGCTGTCTTTTGTATAATCCCACTTCCTCACTAATAATGAAAGACAGATCTCTTCACCTCTTCTCTACTCTGAGCAGAGTTCTGCCAGCACCCCCTTGTACATCATGTACTCCAGCCTCCAACCATCTTGGTGGCCTCTGCTCAATTCACTTTAGCTTGTCTGTCTGTCTTGTACTGTGGGGATGTAAACTGAACAAAGTGGCCTCCAGATGCAGTTTCACAAGCCCTTAACAGAGGGGAATAACCTGCTGGCTAGTCTCTTCCAGATACAACTCAGCACAGGTCTAGTCTTCAATGCCACAGGGATGATTCTGACTCACATTCAGCTTTTTGTACACCAAGACAAGTCTAGGTTTTTTTTGCCTAACCCATGGCTTTAGGAGATACCTAGAATGCTCCCAGCCAGCTCATAAGCCTAGTAACAGTGACACAGTGAGTTCTGTCAGGAAATGTGATAAGGTGTTATATTCCAGAACATTAATTTCCCCCAGAAGCGTTCATGTTTTGAAACAGGAAAGAGAGAGGCCTCCCTTTGTCATGTATAAGCCACTGTGCTATCCTTAAATGCTGGCCAGTATTTAGCCCAATGATTAACCCACATGGGACAACAAGATTTGTATGAATGGCTGAGGGTCAAAGGAGGAAGATTTTGACAGAAAATTGAACTCCTATCAAGACTAAATCCTGATTACTATTTTGTTCCCCTTATTGCACAATTCATTGATAGTCTTAACTGCCCTCACAGGCTTCCCATTTCCTTTATCTAACCAGCCTGGAAATCCGGAGGGACATAGGCAGTGACCATTTGAAGGTGGTGAAGCGTGGGAATCTGAAAAAGTTTAGGTATCTTTTCAAAAAACTGCTTTGCCATAAGACAGACAAGAAAGTTTAATCTGACAATGAGATACATATCTGTTAAGTGTTTGCAGTCTGGTAGGATTCTTGAGCTAGCTGGCAGCAAGTAGAAATTTGCGTGGAATTTGAAAATAGCTGCCAGCTATCTGAAGGAGTAGTGGGAGCACAGTAATTTTAGAATTCCTTCATCATTTGTGATAGAGAAGGTATTGCATGCTCTGCTACTTGCATGACTACTAGTTTTAAAAAACACGCCAGATTCTCCAGTTTTTCAGACAATATATTTATTAATAAAGAGAAGGAATCATCTGACCTTGCTTAGGTTGGGTGACACTTTGTTGATTTTGATGAGATAACGCCCTGAATTGCACTGTATCTTCTGAATGAGGATACTGCAAAATGCACTTTTAATGCAATATCAAAGTGGCTGCCATGTGTAGTACTGGTTTAAATGCACTGAGAGAAGCCAGAGTACTTGAACATTAAGAGAATTAAAATGTAGATGGATTTCTGTGTCCACATTGTTTTGTTATTTTAATTTTTAGAGTACCAGCTAGAAAAACTAGAAAAAATTATACAATCAGTAAGTTTTGTTCATTAAGAGAGTCCTTGTTACTTTACCAGCCAATTAGCTTGCCTATGAGTGTAAGAACTGTCTTTATTTCACTGCTGTTATAAATTTATTGTGTTAATTTGTAATAAACCAATGATACTTTCAAAGATTTTACTGAGATCTAAATTATAATTTTCAAAAACTATAAATCTTGTTCTCTTATTGCTCTTTTTAAAGGAGTGGTGCTAGTAGAAGTTTTTAAACATACCTCTTTTTACGGAGGACTGAAATAGAGGCATGACATTTTTAGAATTTAAGGATAAAGAACAAACTAACAGGTTGCTAATTTTTGAAAGAGTAATTTACAAAATTTGAAACCACTTACTCCCTAAAAAGGACTTAAAACTTGGTTTCTCTTTGTGACCAATTCTTGGATCAGATTCAAACAGAATAGTCTATTAATACCATACCATAATTAATATGATAATTCATTTTAATACTGCAGAATAAGGTTTTTCTTTGAGGTTGCAGAGTTTAACTCCTTGAGCCTGATCTGAAGTGAAGAGAAAATTTCCTTTGATTTTTAGAGGACAAAGGGGGAAACCTTGATTAAGTACATATATTAACATAAGTTTCTGATGAAACTAAAGTAATGAAAAACTTATTTTGAACATGTTTGTCTTACAAGAATTTTTACGATGAATAAATTTCAGTAGTAAAATAATTGATATGTGGTTTCTTCTTTTTTATATCAAAACTTCAGATCTGAATTGAATGTGGTAACTTCTTTACAATTTGAAGAGGACTGCCTCAAGTATTCAGTGTGAATTGCTTCCCTGATATTAAATATTTTAACTTATAAGATAAGCCATTGTTTTGTAAATTGATGTTGTCTTTTCTCCTGTTAAAACAGCATCTTTAAAGAAATCTTGACTTAGAATGTATAAAGAAATGTTGACTTAGAAGGTACATGACATTCTTTTTTCAGCTACTGTAAAAAAACTGAAATATTTGAAAGTCCAAAGAAAACATTCTTTTTAAAGTAGAAGTGATATGCCATATATTTTCACTCTTTTTAGGCTGTCCCATTTGTGGTTTTAGTCTTTAGATAGTATAACTTATCAGAATAATTTGTGAAATGAGGTATTTCTCAATGAATCAGGATATCAGGCACATGAATCTAACTTACGCACTGGTGCTAAATGATTTTTTGGAAATATCATTCCTGTGTTCTACCCATTGTTAAATTTCTTTGGGTTCATTTTTATTTCTCTTTGTTATTTTTCTTTTAAGGGTCACAGTTTAAAATTCATAAGTTACTTGTCATACAAATCGACAGAAAATGAGTTGGGTTTTTTTTAATCATTATCATTCTGATTGTTGAGCAAAAATGAGAAATAACAGTTCTATTTTTCCATTTTAGCTCTTGGGCGACAGGAATTCAGAAAATGATGGAATATGTTCAAAAAAAAGTAGATCAGTTAATCAGGCAGTGTCCAGATTATGAAGAATTTACTTTGAAGAAACAACAATGGACAGCCTCACTTGAAGATCGTCTAAATAAGGTACATCATAACATGTCTTCTTAATGCATTCATGAACAGTGCACTGCATTTCCATAATATAGCTATGTGAATGTTAAAGTTGACTCAAGTAAATACAAATTACATATTGGTTTGTTAGAGTGTGCACAGTTGTAGTTAGAATGCTGTTATCAGCACAAACGAACCTAAAGCTGTTCTGAAAAATGCAGCTCCTTCCATGAGAATATTTTACCAGTGATCTTCAATAAAGCATGGATTTGCTTAGATAACAAGCTATTATAATTTGTTATTTTGGAAATGAAGTGAGCAAGCAGGACTGTGACCTGCGTGCAGGTTTCCTATACTGTTTCTATGTCTTCCGTTTCATTTGGCTGAAGATAAAAATAGAAGTGTGGCAAAACTGAGGGTTAATAAGCATGGTGACTGTGAACCACAGCAAATTTTCAGTAAGGCTGAGAGAGAGTATTCTGTTTGCTATAAAAACTCCCTTTATTCATTAGGATACCGATGCATCAAGGACATCACAGCCTTCTTTAAGTTGTTGAATGTTCTGTAGCACTGCAGACCTTTTTAATGACTTGTCAGAGATGGAATAGACACATGGCTCCTAAATAAGGTTCCATGTGTAAATTCAAATTAAAAAATATAATCTTTTAACAAGGTTCATATGAAGGAAATCCCAGAGCATAGACCAAAAAAGTAAATCACATTTAATGACTGAATAATTAAGTCTGTAATGTGATATTTTATATTTGCATGATGTTTATAATAAACTATTCTAAATCAAATGGGAAGTCACTTTGCGATAAATTGGTCCCTTTGCATACAATTTATGTAGAAGAGACCTCATGGTATTAGAACACAGTGAAAATATTGTTGAGTTTAGCTGAAAATAAAAGATTTGCTCATAGCTGTTGTTGGTCTTGTAGAAATGATGTCACCAACATATTGTGAATCTTAAGCTAAAACTTCAATTATGAAGGTGATTTTTACTCAAAATGTAGACCCCAATTTTGACATATGGTTTCATTCTGCAGTTTGTTCTAATCACTTTGTTCCCAGTCTTGCATTAGAGAACGTTTTGAAGATTTGTCATAATACATGAGGTTTCATTACAGTGAAGAGTGCTTATTGTTATATTCCTACCAAGCAAAACACTTCTCATTCCAACATTCTGCTACTGCAAAGTATCCCAAAGAGTCTGGTGCTAAATTCAACTGCCCCTGAGCTTCATTTAATAAAGTTTGAACCTCAATCAGCAACCACTTCTTATAATATATGGTACATGTAAATTCACATACCTAATAATGACTACACATACTATGTCCGGTGCCATCCGCCTCTGCTCTTCATAATCTGTTTTGTTATCATCATGCATATATAACATCTTACAGTGACACTGAAGTGAAGTTCTGTACATGTATCATCACAAAAATAGGTCTATTGGCTTGGCAGAAAAGCTTTAAATGTACTTTCTGAAAAAAACCCAGAACATAATAAAAGTATTTCTGCCAAGGTTATAATACCTAGATTATAATGCAGTTCTGCATTATTAAAATAGTAAGCCTGGAATACTTAGGATAAGGGAAGCACTATCAACAAAATGAGAGCAAGCAGGAGTTTTTCTGACCATACCTGTTAGAATTTTCTTAGGAGAAATAATAGAATTTTCTTCTTTTATATTTCCATTCCTGAATTTCTCTGATTATACAAAGTACATAATCTAAACACCAACAGACAAGTGTTACTTCACTTTTTTCTATACAAAGTGATGTTTTATACTGTTCTTATACTGTGTACTTGTATAAATTAACTGTGTAAATAATGCTTTCAAATAAAGGTATCACAGTCGATTAAAAAAATCACCCCAGTGCTTGCAGTTGGTATGGAGATTGGTTCATATTTGTCTGAGTCGGAAAGAGTTTTGAACAAACACCTTGAACTGGCTAAAGAAACAAAGGTAAAAAAAAGAAGCTTTAATAATGTTAAGTACTTTTAGAAATAAATGCATGCTGTATGTAATTCTAAATAAGGTGAGAGGCTGAGAGTTTCTTATGTATTCTTAGAAAGAAAATAGGTCTATAGTTTAGTTTAAAACTGTAGTTAATGAACAAAACCACAGATAACATTACAAGACAGTCCTTCTTGTACCACTGGTTGTACCCATTGTCCCTATCTCACTGTGTTATTTGTTACTACTTCAAGATCCCAGTATCAGCCCTTAATAGGAAGACTCTTCAAATGTGGATTGCTACTCCTACCTCAGGCACCAAGCTTAAAAATTGTCTAGGCAGAGGCACAGAAAACTCTTCTTGTGGTTTTTTTATGCCAGATTAAAGGGATGAATCAGAAAAAAAAAAAAAAAAAAAGTTGTTCCCAGGTGGAGAAACTTTGAAGGGGGCTGTAAAGTTGCAATCAGATATCCATTGGTCATGTTGGGAATGCAGCCATGGTATGAAAGCACTGCAGCACTCAGCTCTGCAACACAGAGGACGCTCTTTTTAAGTCACATCCAGGGCCTTTCCAACTCCCATAGCAATACTTCAGTATCTGGAAGTGGCTTAAAACCAGCTGAATCCTCTCTGTGGTCTTGACACAGGTGCATATTTCATGGCTAAGCAGAACAACATGGCAGTATGTATTTTAGGAGTATCCTGTGTTTTAGTTCTTAAAACTCAATTACTCCTATGGAGTTCTTTTTTGTTTCAGGCAACAGTTTATGGAAGCCAAGAGATGGATCTGTACAATTTTCTGTGGAAATAAAATTCACTTTAAAGAAATTCTGGAGAGCACATAGTAAGCATATAAAAAGTTCAGCAGATGAGCAAGAGCTCATTTTAGTTCCACAAGACTGTATAATAGTTTTTAGTGTCTTTTCTGCCAAATTTTTGCAAGCCAGGGTGTTATGTTTGTTGCAGTGTGCAATCTGCCCTGACAATAGTAACCTCTTCTACCTATTCTTTCTGTAGATTGTGATATGCTAGAGTTTGCACTCTTGGCTGAATGCCAGAGGTAGATACGCCAAGTGGTATTAAGTTAAATATATAAAAGTAGATAGACAGATATAGAAGCTATGAGTTAAGACAGTGAATCTGAAAACCAGAATCCCAGCTGAATCATGGAAAATGTTAGTAACTCAGCTCTTGCTCAGAATGCATACTGTGACTCTCTTCTGGGTCCGAGTAGTTGATGCAGGAACAGATATAACCCACTATTTGCTCTCCGTCTGATTTCTGCAGATTTGCTGCATGCAAGAACATTGGTTTGGGTTGGAATGCAGGGTAATCTAGCTTGATGGGTGGGGACTAGTCTAGAGCTAGGAAGCAATTATTGATTCAAGAATGAAGGCACTAAGATTCATAAGGAAGAGTGCTACAAGCACAGGCCTTAAAACAATTACAGCAGTAGCCTTATGAGGACCCAGTGGTTCTAGAGTCTCACTCTAGAGTGGAGACTGAGTTCTACAAGAACTGAGTATCAGACAAGCAGCTAAGAGGGATTTAGACTCAAAAGAATCAGTTCAGAAAATTGTGCTATACTGTTTATTACAGGAATTGTATCAGTTCTGGCTATCGATGTTCCCATAAGGAATGCTTCTGTTGTTTTCATTCTTACACTGTGAAGTGGTTTACTTAATCTGAATACTGAGATTCCTACTTTTTTTTTTGCATTCAAAATAGCTATTTTAATAACTACATCCATAGTTTTTAGTGTCAAAATGTTACAGGAAATAAATGGTTATTTTCAACATATAATGTCCGTTATGAGCTCTTCTTCAACTAAGTAATTGAATTATACATAAGAAAGCAATACTAGTGAAAATTAAAAATGTGATATCAATATTTACAAGTCCTTTTCAGTCATTATACAGATTCTTCTATGCTTGTACCCTCAAAGGAAACTTCACATGAACTGGAAGTAGCTGAGAGAATCATCAAAGATATGGAGACGTTTGAACCTGAGCTGGTGGCAGCTTTTTCTAGCAGAACTGATTTTCTGAATGAAGAACTGAAAAAAATTGAAAAAAATAATCGTTCCAAAATAGATATTCTAGAAACTTATGTGGCCTTTTTAAAGTCAGCTGTGGAGGTACAGATTACTTATTCTCTGACTAGACTGTGAAAATCTTACAAGTGAAAAATGTACTTTTAGCTAGCTAAGAAAAATCCTGTAGATGCTGTGCCATGGAAGCACTGAAAGTCTTTGTAAGCTCCTTTCTACTTTGAGAGAGATCTGTTTCATCAGGGCAAACAGCCCTGATCATTGAACTTGCATCATCATAATGACTAGTCTATGTACAGATTTAAATCACCATTATAAGAAGTATTATAATTTAATTTTTACTCTTTCTCCTGCGTACATGAGCTCACTTATTATATACATAATATAATATACATGTTTATATGTATGTACTCTGACTCTTAAATTTACTGATTTTGCTTCATATAATTTTAAAATTATTTCACATAATATGTTGATATCACTGTCTTGCACTACTTCCACTGAAGTGTTAATTCATCTGAAGGCGTTTAAAAATAAAATATAAACAAGCTCTAGCTGAAATCATAATTAATTCAATACCAACATAATTTTGGTGGCTGTACTAATGATGCCCAGGGCAGTTGATTTTCATATTGATGTAATGCTTGTTTTAATATTCTACAACACTGTTGTTCTTTTATATTTAGAAAGAAATTGAGGGTGGAATGGAACCTATCAGATAAAATTAGACATAGGATTTATTTATTTGAAGATAAACTGCCAAAAAATTGTATTGCATCTACTTCCGGTTATTGCTAACTTCAGTTACTTCATATTAAACAGATATGTGAGAATCATTGCATTGATACACCGGTATATAATATCCATGTAATAATATGTGACAGAAACTGAACAAATTGCTGACACCTGTCTGCTTGCCATCTACTGGTTTACAGGTTATTTAAAACTTTTTCATTATTTAGTATTTGTATAGATTTTATGGAGTATGGTAGATCTTAAAACCTGGAAAAGATTCAGAAGCTGCTATTCAAGTTTATCATGTCTATATACCTTCTGATTATAGCAGCTCAATTTTTTATTTGTTTTTTGATGCTTATTTTATGTCTTTCTGTAGGTGAATGATGATATTCAAAACATGAAGAAATTCTATAAATCAGCACCACTACAAACAAACAGGGAGGCTGAAAATAAAATTGCAATGGATTCAGCTAATACACAGTGGCAAAAGACTATAAAGAAGATCTTTTCCACCCAAAATATGGGTTGCAATTTTCTTAATTTAGTAAATATGGTGAGTATAACCTGATAAACCATTTTGAATATTTGATGTTTGTCTGTGATGGTCTAATCCTAGTTCTGTGACTGATGGATTGTGATTTCTCCAGTACCTAGTTTTAAAGGGATTATTAGTGCTATATGCTTTTAAAATACAGAAGTATTATTTGAGTGGTAATGGCGTTACAAGTAATATAAAAAGTTTTGTGATTAACAATGACAGAGCCCTTAATAAATGATCCAGTACATGCATACAAATATAATAGCCTGGATACCCAGCTGTTCTTTCTGCTTTTATAGGACAGACTAGGGAGCAGTTACATTAGGGTGAGAAGGGCCAGTTGGTGTTGATAACATACAGCAGCATGCAGGATGAGCTGGAAAAACCTACTTAAGGAGGGAAAGTGCTCAGACATTTAGTGTGGGCTAAAGTGTGTGCTTTCACAGCCTGATGCAGCCAGGCACAGATTAGATAGTCAGTGTAAAGGCAAGTTGAATATGTGTGAATAGGATGTTGCACTGCAGTCACTTAAAGTCTAAACATATCTTCTGATATTATCTCTCTAAAGACCTGGAAGTGTGCTGCCACCATATTTTCTGTTACTCTTTTCCCGTAATAGTCTTAGGTTGTAGCTTTTAAGTATCTGGAAGATACAGATCATACAAGTCATTTACGAACACAACTTTTCTTAAAAGAAAAATTCTGAAATGGGAAAAGCAGAAACAGCATTACTCAGTTTTCTGGTGTTTCTGCTATGGGCTCTGTTAAAAAGAGGAAAGAACACCAAATGTTCAAATGCTAAACACTTTATCCCTCCCATGCTTCAGTGCCGCTTTGGTTATCTGCACAAAGGAGTGGTCTTTTCTTCATCTACTTCACTTTCCAATTAGTTGCTATTCACCAAAAGGCCTTTTTTGGTAATTCTGTCTATTCAGAAATTACTTTATTTTGTATAAGCCTTAAACAGCCATCAGATGGCAATAATTCAGTCATTACTGACCTGCCCTAGGTTTTAAACTTTAACGTTAGCCATGTCCTCAGTATACAAATTCTGTTGATCTATGCCTACTTCTAAGAGAACAATGTATTTAAAGACACTTAAAGTACCAGAAATTTTCAAAGAAGTTACGCTAGAATAGTTGGGTTTTATTAAGCTTTGTTGAGACTTCAATATTATGAGGTTTTAATTGTATTTTATAAAAACGTATGTGGAAAAAAACTTGTCTGTTTATTTGCCAGGTAAATGAGAGTTTAATATTAAAAGTAGAAAAATCTGTACGAGTAACAGAAGATATCATTGTTAATCTGAGTAGAGAAAAGAAAATGCTGACCAATCTTTGGGCAATCTGGAATTTTAAAATTACTCAAGTAAAACCAATCAAACAACAGTGCCGGATATTTACAGAGCAACTAAAAATTGTAAGTAAAATAGCTAGGAAGAAAGCAACTGTGGCAAACATTTCTAGATTGTTACTAGTTTTTCTGTGACTCTCTCATCAACTATTATAGATATCATTTAAAAAATAGACATGATCAGTAAGATACTTCTCCGTAGTCTATTCTGCCATTGAGATAATCATGAAGAAGCATGAAATGTTTTTGATCATTTTTGTCCTTATTCAAACACATACAAATCCAAGTCCCCAGTTCAAATTTTAAGTTTTAATCAAGTCCATATACTATATCAGCAGTGCTTTAGTTTTTTCTTTGGTGTTTTTTTGTTTGTTTGTTTGTTTTTTTAAAAACACAATTTTGTTGTGACTTAATAGTTACTAAACTAAACTGTGTCCTAGCAGTTACTACACTCAAGATCAACCATGTTCAAAAGGAAAGAGGATTGAAAACTCCTTGGCCCAGGGACAGTATGCAGTGTTCCCTAAAAGCAACACTAGCTAGGCTAAGTAGTAGAACCAGAGGTTTGTAGCTGCTGTTTATCACATGCAACTTATCACTAAACCACGACATCTGTTATCACAGAAAATACAGTGTGTGTATGGGTCCTCCAATTTCAGTGTCTCAATTGTTTTTGTACAGTCTTAAAGATTTCTAATCACCCTTGTCAGTCAGAGGGTTTGAGACAGAGAGGTTTATAGTTTTAAAAAAAAAAAAAAAATACACATTATAACCACAAAATCGCGCTCGTGTTTTTTTGTTTTTAAATCTCGTAATGAAATTTCCTGACAGCATTTGGGTGTCTGGTTTGGGGAAGGTTCTTTTTACAAATTTAGATTTGTGTTTAAATATTTTTTTATTTACTACAGATAGAAACACTGAAATGTTTATCTTTTAGACTACCCATGGATTAGAGATTCTTCAAGAGGCACTCCAGCTTTCAGCAACAGTTGACCTTGGAAGTGACCTTTTTATTGTTTTGGAACTACAAAAAAAGCTTAACCAAATGAAACCACAGTATCAGGTGAGAAACCACACTAGTGAAGTGCACGGTGGATCAAAAGCTCTTTTTGGTACAGTAAAGATTCATATTCACATTGACTCCAGATAGAATGTCTGGGGTCGCAGTGTTTTGTGTTTTACATTGCTTTTCCAGAAGGAAGGGTTTGTGTGTGTATATAAGGTAAGGGAGAAGACGTTTTACCTTCAGTGTCCAGAGAATGTTTTGCGCTGTGTTAGCTGTGTATTAAAGTGACACACAAGCATTGGGGTAGTGGAAGTACAAGGAGAGTACCAGCTTCATGCTTTTGAGTTAGAGCTGGTCAGAAGCTGAGGTATGTCATACTGAGCTTCCTGTCTCCTCTGTCTCTGAGTTTTAGCAATTCAGTCTGTTATTCCCCTACAAGCCACTTTGGCTTGTTTTGATCCAAGGCTGTTTCTGGGTGATAGCCGAGATTCATGCCTAGCAAAAACTAAAGTATGTGGAGAGTGTTTTAAAGAGCATAGCATTGATTTTTCCTCAAGGCAGTTTACCATTGTTAGGTTGTTATTTCATCAAATGTAAGGGAAAACTTGCAAATATATTTGTGTGATTTGAGTAACTTCTGCTTTTTTGCTAGCAACTGAATGCTGAGCTGGAGTACCTGATAAAATTATTAGAATTGCCAAGCCAGAAAGGATTTCCTGTGAAAGAGAATTCTGAGAGAATAAGTGAGCTTATTCATCTCCATCAGACAGTAAAGGACATAATGACAGAATACGATGAGATTTTCAACAAGACAGTCAAATTCCATCACATTAAAAAAGAAGTGAGTATAATCTTTTAAAATACACCTTCTTTCCATTGCAGTTAAACTCTCTTTGGTTTTGTAGCCAGTTGGTTTTGTTTGTTGGTTTTTGTTTGGTTTTTTGTTTTGTTTTGTTTTGTTTTTTTTCCAAACAGCATTAACGCATTCAGTGATCAGAATTAAAATTTTGGATCTAAAACTGCATGAAATTTGGAGAATTTAAAATTCAGAGCTGGACCCACATTTAATTACTTAAACCCATGTGAACTAAGTTTAGGGTAACACATTATGGGTAAGCAAGGAATTGTAAGTTTTTCACATTATTTTAAACACACATTGATTTTTATTTTAATATATTCCAGCTGGAATGTCTATCAAAATCAGGAGAAATGGATATTCCTGAAATATGTGAGGACCCTGAAAATGTGCATCATGCTAAAGCCTACCTTGTGAATGCTCAGGAGAAACATGCACATATCAGACGTCTATATAAACTGCTTATTACCCAGGGAGTGGATATTTTGTCTGCAGTGCAGCAACCTGTGAGTAGAATTAGAATGATTTGTGAAATCAAGGATAAATAGGAAAGATTATTATTGGAGGTATCTGACTGACTTTAAGATGTACAAAAATGTATTAATACTCTGAGAAAAATAAACACAGAGCTTTAAGATCCTTTTAAAAGAAAGCAAAACATACAATGTAAAACAGTTGATCATTTTTAGATTTCTGCTTCTAGAGTTTGCTGATATACAGCCATCGAATGAAACATCCAGGAATAATGAAACTTATTCTTCAGTAGTTGCTCACATTTTGCCAAGAGAAAAGGAAAATTAATTTCTTTGAAATCGTGTTTTAATTTTTTAATGGTCTGTGAACAGATCTTACTCTGGAAAACATTGAAATAGATTTGAAATAGGGAGGAAATTAATCTTAAAATATCAGCGCTTGGAAAAAAAAAAGCATGACTTTCTGTTCTCTAGTATTCTTCATGCAGTTCAAGGCCCTGTTGGTGATTTCTTGAATGCCACATCTATATATTAGATTCCTGTTACTTTGCAAACGTTGCTTTGCATATTTATTCTTCTATAAACAAAGGATAACAAAAGAACAAAAAGGAAATATAATAAACAGTGTTACCTTATTAGTAGAGTCCAGATTGATTTGCACGGCAAAATGGATATCATATTAGAGAGGAGTTATTTATTCAGGGCAGGATTGTCATTGCCCTATATTCATTTATTAGGGAGAAAGCAAGACATTCCGTTATGACCTGCCTAGATTGTCCACATTGCCAGTCTGCTCTTCAGACTCCATAAATTGATCGACAGCAGAAAGGAGCTAATCTCCAGGTGGTAAAGTACTAGAGTAAGCCACTTCCTCTTTGCTCAGAGAAGACCCCATGTATGAGTCATGACTTTGACCCAAAACTACTCCTCAGACCACTAGTGATTGAAACTGCTCTGTACTTGCTGTCATTACAGTGAAGGTTTAATAGTTTACTCTAGCCCATTGTGACTGACTATGCATGTTCTACCTCAAAATTATTTTAATTTTAGATTGGTTAAATTAATACATTTCCTGAGTTTCATAAGTTTTGTTGTCTATTCCCTGTTTAGAATTGCTTGAATGTTTCTGTAAAGAATCTGAAGCAAGAACTTGCTAGATTTGAGTGTGATAACATTAACTGGAGCTCCAAAGCCGATAAATATGAGGAAGAACTGTCACAGCATTTCCAACATTACACCACTCAAGAGGAGATAAATGAGGTAAATGAGATAAATCCCAACACATTAAGTGACTGTTAAAAAGGCTGTTGTGTTCTGTAATATATGTTACTGTTTACCATTCTGCTAGATGCTTCATACATACACAGAAAAGTAGATTTTCATCTTACCAGCAACCTTTGATCGAAGCAGCAGCACTAATCTATGATCCATACCTCTGAAGTTCAGGATTATATCAACTGGTTAGCCTGGCAATAAAGTGCTTTCACTGTACCAAGAGGACTGGAAATAGAACAGCTATGGTTTTTTTGGCTTTCAGCTCTGTCAGCTTCATCTGAAATACATGAGTCTTCAGATTTCTTTCTTAAGAAGCTAAAGTTTCAAACAAAAATAGAATTTACATATATTGCAGTTGTAAGGCTATTAGAAAGAACTTTCAGTCTTTTAATGAAAACTTCAGAATAATTTAGTGCTTAACATTTTTTCAGAAACCCAAGATCTGATACTTAAAAATTGCTAGAAGAAATGGAAATGTTCTTTGGCACAAGATATTAGCATTTAGTATTGTGGAAATTAGGTTAGGAAAAATTACTTAGCTAATATGATTGTTAATTCAGCACCTTAGTAGGCCAAATACAAATCCATTCACAACTTAGCAAGTTGAATTGGATAGATGTCTCAGCAAAAATTAATTTAGGAAAAACATTTCATAGAATTAATTTTCTCAGAGTGATCCATTAAAATAAGAGGCTGATGGCCTCTACACTTGACATTCTGTAGATTTCACTTCTGTGCATCCATGAAGTACAGAAACTGGATTCTTACCTGGAAGGATTTCACACTAATGTTCCCCGTAGTATGAAGCATAGGTAGTGGAAACACAGGACACTGAAAGTTATATTTTCTTATTTTATCTTTCGCTAAGTAAATCCACACCTGAATAAAGACAGACTGTATTTTCTTGAAATCACCAAAGTAGAGGTGACTAAGATTTCTGTCACAACTATTTTCAATGAGAAAATTATTTTTTGGATTTTCTTTTCTTTTACAAAATATTTTTCTGTATTTGTGAAAAGTGTCCATTTTCACAAAAAGGTATTTTGAAATTGAAAGAGCATGTGCATCAAAAAAAGGTTTTGTTGAATCTCAGTTACAGTTCTAGTCCATTGTCGGTTATAAGCTGACTGTGTTTCACTCTCTGATCTTCTGTGCATCAGTCTCCTGTGATGTAACTTCTTGGCCTATGGTAGGAGGCAATAGGAACAGCAGGTGGTATAGGAGGAGCACTCTGACAGAGGGAACCATGCTGTAGAAGAGAATGAAAGCACGAAGTACCTAAACAAGAAGTCCCATTATGCTTTGCAGTGGCATGGCAGAATCAGAATATTTGAGATTTGAACTTAAAGTATTCTAGGTTTTTACAGAAAACCCCTCAAATTTGCTGAAGAAAAGGAACTGTTCACTGAGCAGCCTGTATGTAAGGCTGGCCATATTCAGACACACTCTTATACTAAATGAATCTCTTGTTTCTGTCCTTTGATTCTGGGATTATTTAATGAGGGCAGGAGAATGTAGCTCCTTTCTAAGAAGAATTATTTTTCTACTTTTATTACTTTTTAGACTTCCAGTGAGAGCAGGAAGTAGAGGAAAAAAGCAATCTTCTGCCTCTCTCAGATTTAAATGAAAAGCGTGTCAGTGACACGTGTTACTCACCACATGCCTTATATTGCAAAATGTAATGGTTTAACTTCTCATAGTTAATGGACACCCTCTGCAAAATAATTGCATAACATATTTTCAATTGTAGCGTTAATTGATTTTTTTATTTTTTTTCTTTTTAAGTTGGGAAAGCCTTGTTGGCTGGTTAAGTTAAAACCTGTCATCCCCAGACCTAATTGAATCTTGAATATAAACGAACTGAAATGTACTAACCTGCTGTGTGGACACCTTTTTCTTTAGATTCCTTTTCTACTAGAGGTTATTTCCTAAACAAATACTTGACTAATGTACCTGTATATGCATTAATCCACTGCCATTTTTCTTCATTTTTTTCATTAAGTATTTATAACTAATTCTGTTTAGGGATCAAGAAACCAGACACTGAACTACTTCAAGAATATTAGTTATGAGTATTCACTTCAGTATTTTAAATTCTGTTAATTTTAACATCAGAAATTAGTCTCACTATTGCTAGTATCTAACAGACCTGTCTGAAATAACCATCTACTACGTCTAAGCAAATAAATATTTCATGTGCCAGCAGCAAGAAGCAGCTGTTCATAGCTGTCACATAGTAAACAGCCAAACAGATAATTTAGTTGTGATTTACCAGTGTACAGAGCAAACTTTAAAGTTGACTGAAAATATTTGGAATTCGGCTGTAAATACTTAAATTAATTTACATTTAATATGGTGAATTAAGTGTGTAAATAAAGTACGTGAGTGAGGGCTTTGGTGATTAGGACTCACTGGTGTTTGAAAATATCATACTTAGTGGACTTGGTTAGCTCCCTGTGTTAGTAACACATTAGTGCTTCTATAAGAAGTAAGGAAACACATGCTTAAATTTATAGCCAAGGGTACATAGCATGAGTTTTGAAACAGTCTTGGAGGACAGAAGAGTAAAATGCATACCTTTTGTGTGCCTTCTCTAATTTAAAGAGAATTTGCAAAGGCGAAAAAAAGGATTTATGCCCTCTACATCTTTGAAAGGTATAAGAAAAGCTCGTACTAACTTTGAGATCTGTATTTGCCAGTTTGGGCTTCCTGCTTCACTAACTAGCTTGGGTAGCAGCCTCTGAAGAGCCAAAACTTCACTGCATTGCACTGCAACCTTTTACAATAGAGCTGAGTCAAGCCTGAGGTAACTGTAGCTTAATACTACACTGAATCTGTTCATGGGATTAGAAGTGGCACAGTTCTTTACATAAGATAACTTTTGCAATGAAAAAACCTTTTCTTTAGGTGATCACTTTAAAAATAACATTTATGCATGTCTGCACAAAATTTGCAACAGAAGAGTGACATCCTGAAGTAGGTTCTCATCTCTCCCCAGTCATCTCTTCTTTCCTCTTCATCATGTCATTATTTATACACTTATGGAAAGGTACGACTGAAAATGTGAATTTTAACCATGGAGGGTAATGAGCTATCTCTGTCACAAGTCAGTAGGAACTGATACTACTTAGCACATTTCTTACCTTGTAATTTATTTTGATTGTGGTCTCAGAATTAAAGAAATTAATAATGACTTGAACAGCACCTTTTCTTTCTTCCCACTTTCTGGCTGGTTTTGCTTCTGTCTGTTCTTTCATCTTTGCCACGTTTTCAGCAATCTGTTTTCATGGGCTATTTTGATTATTAGTGTTAGTAAACATTTTATGTATGAATAAAAAGGGAAGGGTAAGTGGCTAACAACACTGAAGTACCTCCTAGAGTGGCTAACACAGGAATCAAAGCATTTTACTGGAACTGTACTGTTAACAAAACCATGTTTAAAGTGGCTTTATAACTTGCTTTTTCCATTTATTTCATAGTTGTGTGATAAATCAGAGCAATTGGCACCTAAACCCCTCTCCTCCACTATCATTCTCCACTCATGACAGGCCAACTACAGTTAGGAACAGCTGCCTGACTAATGACTATGACACAATGGACAAGTTACAAAGTTCCATTAAACTTGTGGGCTGAAGTCACTGAAGTGTATTATGGTGTGTAGTTCCTTTAGTATTTCTCATTTAATTTTGCAGAAAATAGTGGAAAATTGAGATACGTTTAGATTTCTAAAAATTGGTAGCCATATATCATGCTTGGTACAATTGCTGATGATAACAGGAGTTGTGTACATGTACTCTGAGGGGGTGATGTAAAAGTCTGAGCTGAATCTGGTTTTTCCACTGAGGCTAAAAGAGAAGAGTGACAGCAGCTGCAGACCTTTGACACATGAGCCATCATATCTGAAACAAGGCGATCTAATTTCACATACTGCTATGAGGAGAGCCTCTGGCCTTATAAATGATCACTAACCTATGTATGTGCATAAGCCAGTGAAACAAACTAAAATAAACTCTTGCTCATCTCTTCTTTTCCTCAGAATTAAACCAGCAAATAAGGCTCTTGTGTTCTGAATACAAAATATTGTTCTGCAGAAGTGCTTTTATTAAGAGAGGGCTTTTAGACAGATTTTATTATTCTGTGTACTTAAGTGGGATAAACAGCTTAAACTAATTGGAGATCACAGTGCCGGTGATAGAGTTCCCTTCCTTTCCATTACAATGAGTGAACACCATCTCTCTATTCACTGCTGAAATAATGTGGCAACATCCCACTAGATGAAATGAAAATGAAAAATATATCCCTTGATGGATTAACATTACTATGTAATAATAATAATAATGATTGATTGCTAGCTGTTCCAATAACAGTAGCTGCAAAATGAGCATTCATTACTCCTTGGATTCTTTGGCGGGGAAGGGGGCAGGGGGATGTCTGTAGGACTTTTTAATATAAAAAAAGCCCCAAATATATTAACTAAATATCAAATTGTGGATGTGACCTGATCTTGTTAATAATAATAAAGTAAGTTACGTTCTTTTCATTTGTGTGTCTGGAGGAAGAGATCCTAAAGCATTAGAACTGCTGCATATCTTTTATATCAGTTCCCTTAGATAAACATCATTTTACGTAAATTATTCTACATTCTCCTAAAAGCAAAAGATTGTCAACCCAAAGGATGTGAAATTCTAAAAAAAAAAAAAACTTTTGTTTTTATATAACCACTTTTCAAATTGACCTTTAAGATCATCGAGTCCAACGGTTAACCTAGCACTGCCAAGTCCACAACTAAACCATGCCCCTAAGCACCACATCTACCCAACTCTTAAATACCTCCAGGGATGGGGACTCAACCACTTCCCTGGGCAGCCTGTTCCAGTGCCTGACAACCCTTGCAGTGAAGAAATTTTTCCCAGTATCCAATCTAAACCTCCCTGGTACAACTTGAGGTCATTTCCTCTAGTCCTATCACTTGTTACTTGGGAGAAGAGACTGACCCCCACCTCGCTACAACCTCCTTTCAGGTAGTTGTAGAGAGCCATAAGGTCTCCCCTGAGCCTTCTTTCCTCCAGGCTAAACAACCCCAGTTCCCTCAGCCACTCCTCGTTAAGACTTGTGCTCTAGACCCTTCACCAGCTTTGTTGCCATTCTTTGGACACGCTCCAGCACCTCAATGTCTTTCCTGTAGTGATGGGCCCAAAACTGAACCCAGTATTCAAGGTGCAGTCTCACCAGCGCAGAGTGCAGGGAGACGATCACTTCCCTAGTCCTGCTGGCCACACTATTTCTGATATCTAAAAGGATTCTTTGCAGTTGTCATTAAAATTGAATATGACATAGCTTTCAGAGGAAAAAATATTGACAAAATCAAATTTTATGCTTAAAAAATTCATAGTCCTTTAAAGATAATTTAGCTGAGTATGTTTGATATGCTTATTTATATAGCATTTTCTAATGCAAAGAATGATGTGGTTTATTAAAGGCACACTTGTAAGAGGACATTAAAGCAAACAGGTAACTGGCATTGGAAAAAAAAAAAAGATAAAGAATATAACAACCCTATCTTATAACTAGTTCCCATAGTCAATGAACACTTTTTAAAATTATGTTGATTATATATGACTCTTCTTTTTGATGTGTATTAAACTCATTCGGGTAAATTAGCAATGCATCGGATCCATATGTGTGTAAATAAAAATATTGACAAAATCAAATTTTATGCTTAAAAAATTCATAGTCCTTTAAAGATAATTTAGCTGAGTATGTTTGATATGCTTATTTATATAGCATTTTCTAATGCAAAGAATGATGTGGTTTATTAAAGGCACACTTGTAAGAGGACATTAAAGCAAACAGGTAACTGGCATTGGAAAAAAAAAAAGATAAAGAATATAACAACCCTATCTTATAACTAGTTCCCATAGTCAATGAACACTTTTTAAAATTATGTTGATTATATATGACTCTTCTTTTTGATGTGTATTAAACTCATTCGGGTAAATTAGCAATGCATCGGATCCATATGTGTGTAAATGAAAGTGTAACTTCCTAGAGCTTCATCGGTGTCATTCTTATCATCCTGGATTTTTAAAATATTTCGTAGATCAAAGAAAATGTAGCTACATTCTGTCTAAGTAACAAAAGAGTTTTACAGCAAATTTAATATAACTAAATTTAATAATATTATCTCACCTGATAATAAGCCCATCTGAAAAGTCTTGAAAGACACAGATGCTTCATAATCAGAGCTACTAGTTCATCTTAATTTATATTATTATAAGAATCATTTTCCCTAATGTTAAGCTTGCTGCACCAAGTCGGTGCTAACTTGTAATAATACTCTCACATAGTACCAAATCTATCTAGCTGTAGTTAGGCAAGGCTTTCTTTGGGTATCTGTTAGGCAGAATCTCTCTGCTACCAGACTCATAGAATAGTTATTTGAAAGGCAGGTGCTCATATAGTCTACATCTTGATCCTCCAAAGAGCTGGATTCGTCTTTGTGTGCTGTGAATAATTGTACTAAGATGTTTGGACTAGCATGGTGTATAAAATTAAGCCCTCGTGTAACTTCCTTTCAGAAGCAGGGCTTCTGAAAAAAGAGGGGGGGGGAAAGCCAACAAAAAAACCCCAACCTGACATGAACTATATGTTGTATTGTAGGAGAAAAGTACTATGAATAAATACAAACCTATTTGCCCAAGCCTGTAAAACTATGTTTTTCTGGAAACTAAGCATAGGTATACATTTACATGGCTACCATTTCCACAAATGGACTAGAGTATGTGAAGAACATCTGCCTCTAGTCAAAATCAATGAAAACTCTCTGACAGGATTTTTTCATAGGTAGCCTGAGCCAGGATCTCATCCTTTGCCCCAAACTTTTTTTTTCCCCCAGCCATTCTGGAAACAATACTCAGCATTCAGAATGCAAAAATGTTGATTTAGTAAGATTATGAATTTCCACTACTGGAAAGAAATTCTGAGGAAATAAGAATGCTTTATGAGATGGCATAGTATTATTAATTTCTGTATTAAATTTTCAGTGTTCAGATTGTGGTCTTTTAAAGAGCTCTTGAAAAAAACCTAAATTGAAGTGTGCTTGTTTCTATTTTACTAACAAATATGCTTACCCTGTTTCAGCTCAGAGAATCATTTAAGGATCTCAAAAAGAAATTCAACAATTTGAAGTTTAACTATACGAAGAAAACTGAAAAAGCTCGAAATTTGAAAGTACTTAAAATACAGATTCAGCAAGTTGATACGTATGCAGAGAAAATACAGGTAATATTAGAATTTTTATTCTTTGTGAAGGCTTCACTGGTTGGATTGCTGTGGCCTGTGCCAAGCAGATTAGAAGAGATGTAAAATATATTGTGAGCTTCCCTGTTACTCAGCTTTATATCCTTCCCCTGTCTCAATCACTGTTCTGTTTCATTGTTCTGTTTTCATTGTTCTGTTGCTTTTATTCTTCTATTTCCTTCAGTGAAATGATCTTATCTCAATTCCTGACTTCTCTGTGTTCACTCCTTTTATTCTCTATTGTTTTTCTATTTAATCTTTTATTCTTCTTGTCTCTGTTCCTTTACAATATGTGACCTACTCTTCCTTCTCCTTAAAAAAAAAAAAAAAAACAAATACCCCATCAAAATCAACAAATCAACAACAAATGCACACATATTCCCTCTTGCATTCAGCTACTTTCTTATCTTTCTCATTTCACTATGTAAGTGTTCAGAACCCTTTTTTGCATCCATTGCCTGGAGTTGATCATGCTTATTTACACCTTAGAACCCTGCTAGCCTGACCCATTCTTTGCATTCACCAGAAACTCTTCTTCCAAAGCATTCCAATGACCTTTTTACTTGCCAATCAAAGCTAGCACTTTTTTTGTTTCATTTGCCCTGCCAGTTTCTTCCTTCACAACCTTTTTACTTGAAATTTTCAGTAGCTCCTATGATTCTATTTTTGCTATTTCTTTTGTTGTCATTCACTATTCCTTTTACAATCTTTTTTCTTTCTTTCCTGGTAATTTCATCCACAAATGCAAATTCAAATCACAGAATCATTGAGGTTGGAAGGGACCTCTGGAGATCATCTAGTTGAAATTCATTCCTCAGAGCAGGGTCAACTACAAAAGCTTGCTCTATGTCATGTCCAGTTGGGTTTTGAATGTCTCTAGGGATAGAGACTCCACAACCTCTGTGGACAAGCTGTTCCACCCTCAAAGTAAAAAAAAAAGTAGTTGTTTGTGTTTTTTATTGCTTAAACAGAATTTTCTGTACTTCAGTTTGTGTCTGTTGCCTCCTGTCTTTTCACTAGACACCACTGAGATGAGTCTGGCTCTGTTTTGTTTACTCCCTCCCATCATGTTTTTATACACATTGATAAGATCCACCTTGAGCCTTTTCTTCTCCAGGCTAAAAAATCCTAGCTCTCTGTCCTTGTATTACACATGCTCAGTCACTCAGTCATCTTTGTGGCCCCTTGCTGGATTTGCTCCAATATGTCCAGGTGTTTCTCATGGTGGGGAGCCTGAAGTGGACACAGGGCTCCAGGTGTAGCCTCACTAGTGCTACGTAGAAGGGAATAATTACCTCCTTTGACCTAGTGACAACACTCTTGCTAACAGTGTATATTCTTACAAGTGTACATGTGGACAGTTCATGAAATACTTTATTTTAAACCAATCTCTTCCTTTCCAATTAAAAATCAGGGATGTGTCTTTTTGCATCACTTGTAAAACAGCTAGCACAACTAAGTCTTGATCAACTGACAAGACCAGTGTTCACAGGATATAAAATATATACATGCATATATGTATACCATCTTATCCTAAAACTTAAAGGTCATGTTTATACCAGACATCATAAAGTACTATTATGAACACTTGTTCACCTTGGTGTTTGGGATTATGCTAGATTGTCACTGATGTTGCTTACATCAGATTCTTAAGCAATATGTTAATATTCTACGTCATAAATAACTGTGATGCTTAAATTGACTTGTATTTGGTCAAAGACTCCAAAGACTTAGTAGTATTTTTTCCTTTCCAGAGTCAAAGAAAGTTATTTTGTTCAAGAGCCTATGTTTTATTACTACAGATATTTTTTTATTTTTAAGCTGAAAAATGTAACTCAATTCCACCTTTAATAAATATAATTTACATTGATTTTAATCAGCATTGTAGAGGCCCTCCAGTTTCCTTTGATTTTTGAAAAAGCAGCTGGTACTTGTAATTTTTAAAACACAGGACAAGAAATAGGTTTATATGGTTTTTCCCATGTTGTTTCCTTTTTATTTCTAAAAATAGAAACATTTTTGTTGCGATATTTAACATTGCTACATCTTTTAAACAGATTCTTAAAAAGAAGATGGAAAATTTAGAGAAGAAAGTCATTGGCTCTGTAACAAAGGAACCTAATGCTAAAGTTAGAGTACTCTTGGGGTCAATCAGTGACTTACAAAAACAGCTGAATGACTTTAACAGAGTTGTGGAGGATTACAAGCAAAATCTGGATCTTGTGGAGCATCTGCAACAGATGATGGAAGAGGTACTAGTAAACCTGAGATCCCCACTGTGGCTGTAGTAATGATCCAGGACTGGGATAGATAAAAGTGCTTATAACTACTTCAGGCAAAATCTGTGGCTTCCAAAAGAGTAGGCTGGTAAAAATCTGTATTTTCTTCTATTTTTTTCTTTGTAACTTTGTGGAGAGAGGGGGAAAAAAACATGGAATGTGACCATATTCTTACACTGTTATGCATACAACTGGGGTCTCCACCTCCATGTGACTTTCATAGTGATTCTGCATATGTATGATCATACTTATGAACTCATTTTCTCTAAGTATATTCTGAAGCAACACAGAAAGTGCTACAAGGCCCTCTTTGATAGCGGTCAAACCACAAGAGCCAGGTTATCACAATACCCACTTTGTTAGTTGTCAGGAAGAGCTGTCTGTGTGGTATGCAATTGTGGAACTGAAATGTAAAATATTCAGTTCCTTAAAAGCTGTGTATAATTTTTTTTAATAGAATTAGTTGTTAAGTATATGTATTTTTTTTTTTTTCTGAACTGCAGTCTAAGTCTTTTTGGAGGCTTCTGTAACTTTATTTTAACGTGTCTGAGGACTGCCTCATGCATTGCCTTTTTAAAAAGAAAAAAAAGTTTGTAACAGTATTTTCCCTCTTGCCACATTGTGTTGGTGCATCTGCTGCGAGGCAAGCACATTCCTGTCATCGTTGTTTATTTTTAGAAATATCATTGTTCACATCTCCAAACTGATCTAAATGCATGACAAATAAATTCCCTTAATGATGGATCACAATACTAAAGTTTTGTTTAAAAGATGTTTTCAGTGTTCAGTGATCTGATCAATGTGTCATTTCATATATCATTAGCAAAGCAATTTCTTACCATTTGTTGTGCATTTACATTTTTAAACTTCCTCCTCACTCTGAGGAAAATAAATTATTTGCTAGAGCTAAAATTTAAGATTTCTTTTTTTACTCAGTGTAAAGTATCACCTTTTACCCCACAGTTTTCTTTCAGTGAATAGGTACAGTCTTAAATACTGACTTTGGCAGTTAAAAATGGTGATTATTAGCTGTTTGCTGTAATGATGCAATACGGATGATACTAAGTGAATACCAGATTCTGTCCTCCTCTGAGTATTGTTAACCAAATGTGTTTATTGAGGGTATGTTCTAATGCCCATTCTTGTCGGCAGAAAGATTCCTAGCAACTTTAATGGTTGCTGAGACCAAAAACCCTGTTTGCTAGTAGACTAAATCTAAGCAACCTTGCTGCCCTTACAGAGGTATAACTGTGGCCATGAAATGAAGTTTGTGAGATTAGTCAGTTGATATAAAAGGTGGAAACAACTCAGAAATAAAACATACGTTTGCAGAACCATTAACTAATAGCCTCACCATGCTTGTAAGATGAGCATGGATCTAGTGTTTAAAGAAAATTTAACAGCTATTAATATTTGACGCAGCACTGGTAATGAACAAATGTTTTTCAGGTAAAATTAAAATTGGAAAAATTAAGATGTACTGTATGCCACTGATTATGGAAAGTCTAAGAATAGTCTAGTCTATTCTACAAAAGCTTGAACTGCTGATAATAATTTGTTATAATGCATTGTTTTTATCCCTCAGTGTCAATTTTGGTTTGAAGATGTGAGTGCAACAGTCATTAGAGTTGGCAAGTATTCTGCAGAATGCAAAACAAAGGAAGCAATAGAGACTCTCTACAAGCAATTCAATAAGTTTATTGAGCCTGCAGTGCCTCAACAAGAAGAAAAAATTCAGCAGATTATAGACACCGCTAAACGGTTATATGGTGAGGAGCTGTCTGGTAATGTACTGTGGGGGAAAAAAATACAACTTAGGACAGGAGGAAGCAGATTCCTAGATTTGTTCATTTAAGAAGAAAATTCCATGAAGTTTAAAAAACAAATGTTGTTTTAAAGTATTGAAGTGAAGAGGTGAAGGCTTTCAGAACAAATATTTAAAAAATAAAAATATGAAAGTGTTCAGCAGTCTGGTAGTTACTTGGTTTTCTGTATACAGCCTGAGTTCACCTTGAAATCAAAGTGTGAATGTCCTTGTAATATTTCTGAGCTTGGAATTAAGACTTCATGGCTTATGCTATCTCATAACAGGCAAGTCTTTGAAGTGAAAGTACATCACAATGATATACCTCAGTGCTGAGTGAAATTTTTGTGTTAACACTGTGAATGACTAGTGGTATTTGATTGTCAACTTTAAGCATTTTATTAGCAAAAAATGTAGATTGTTATGTAAATACTGTATTTGCAATTGTATTGATTTGGAACGTTTTTGACCAAAAAGAATGAAGGTCAAGAAACTTCAGGTTTTGTGTTTTTTTTTTTTTCTCCCACTCATAATGTTTATATACTTGTTGAAGTTATTTTATCCAAAGATAAGGTGACCATCCAAATGTGCAAGAATACTGTGTAGCCTATCAGTTCAAGTAGTAAATCTGAAAAAATTTCAACAGAGTCAAACTGTGCTTCTAAATTCCTCTAATTTACTGTTGAAAAGACTATTTAGAGAGCATAGATCGCTTTTTTCCTTTCTCTCTCTCTTTTTTTTTTTTTTTAACCCTTCTTAATATTTTAAACCTTCCTATCTCTAGAAAAGGAGCTGATGGAATGGATTCTTAAGACCAGCTGATTAAGAACACTGGGAGAAAGAAGCTGCTTTGTGTTTTTTTAAGTCATTACACGGCAAAAAGCTTCTCCATCCCATCTCTGTTTTGTATTTTTTATAACAGGGATCTAAGTGCCTCCTAGCTGCATAATAAGGCAACTAGCTTAGGAGACACTTCACATGGTCAGCATCTTTTAAAGCAATATCACTAACCAGACAGTTGTAATTTTGTTCAGGGAGAAGCCCAGCAAAAGACCTGCAGTGACTATGAGGGCCCATCTCAAATAAGCTAGTAAGAGGTAGGAAAGCACGTTGCTGCAAATCACAGAACTCCGTCAGCAAAACAAAACACAGAAAAATGTAATTATTGTAGTATATTGGGGTTACAAAGTACATGTGATTGTTACATATTTGTTTGAGGCATTCTGTTCTACTTTCATGTTGTTTTATTTGTAGGTATTGAAGAAGGAAAGAAGTATGTTGAAAAAGCCATATTAAAGTACAAAGAAATCATTAATTCTGTTGATGAGTTGTGTAGATCTCTGAGAGAACTTAAGGAGATTAAGGTATTTTTTTTTTTTTATTTTTATCTGGACAATATATTGCATCTGCATCAACTTATCAGGCTTAGTGTCTGAATCACTACTTCTAACTGAGGATCATCTATGGCAGTATGAAACATTTCTTAATTGTTCACTTTGGATTACCTTAGGTAATGATTGTAATGAATCAATAAAGTGCTACTTGTTTATGCACTAAATATTCCTCCTAGGTTTATTTTTCTCAACTTTCAGAGCTGTTATTGCTTTCAAGTAACCTCTAGGGGAAAATGTCACAACTTCTTTGAGTATCTAGACAAATACTTTTTTTCGTATTTCTTCTTCCCTTGGTACTGTAATATAGGTAACTGCTAGATCTCTAAAATGCCAAACAATCTAGCTTGGCTCCCTGTTGGTAAAATCATCCCAAAAAACGTGTTGTGCTAAAACCAAAGTAATTTAAATTAGAAAAGCATGGCTTATAAGATAAATATCAAAGAGAACAACATTTTTAGTTTCATATTCTGATAAGCTTCTTTAAGCGTAATTAAGTATAACATATCAACTGAGGAGGAACTATGGAAGACAACTGAGAGGGCTAGATTTCTGTAACAAAGACTCTTTTTACGCCACCCCCCACTCTCAAAGTAATACATCAAAAACCTCCCACATGCAGCAATAGCTGATGGGTTAATTCTTCTGTGAAGTTCGAAGAGTTAAGATGATTAAATATCCTGCTCTTGTTGATGTTGAATGTTGTTTCACTTCTCTGATGGAATTATACTATAAAAACTGATGAGCACTCAAATTATCCATAAATACACTTAAAAGCAGTAAGAGATGCCAAAAATACAAATAAGTTCCAAAAGTCATTAGGTGAATGGAAAGGTGACTTTGCCTTGTACTGTGACCATAAAGAAACTTCAATATAAATGCCAATTAGGTTTTTCAAAGTTCTTCTCCCAATCCATGTGTTACATAAATGCTGTTGTGTGCAGGACAGTAGCCTCAGGTTCTGTCAGAACAGGGCTTGAACCTTTGATCTTTTTTGCTAGCTCAACATAATATGGATCTTTTGAAGAGAAGTGAAATTTCAAAATAATTGCAATATTTTACTTTGACTAATTTTGCTAATTGTAAAGTTATCTTTCTTTAATAGAGTTGTTTGGAGAACACTTTTTTCACACAGAACCATTGATAAGCTATTTACTGATTAGTTTGACCTTTAATTTAGATAATTCTTTTAAAAAAGTCAATCAAAAGGAATATTATAAAAAATGAATTTTCTGCAATAGCGAGTAGTTCTGCAACTTTTTTTCTGAGTAGTTGTTATAGTATTCTGAGATTTTAAAACTAACATTCTTATTGAACATTTCCAGAATATTTCAATAGTTGATGTCTGTATCTTATGAAGAATAAATAATTCAACAAATTATCTACACAAATAGGCGCCATGGGTATGGAATACCATGACTATGAATTCAGTTTCACTTTCTGTCATTTTTAAAGCCTGACATATTATGGGGAAATATATTGCGCAATCTTTCCTGATGTTACATGGCTGTTGAATGTCAGAAGAAAACAACTCTTGGATTTTTCAAGTGCAAAATTAAAGACTACTTTTTCTTCAGAAAAAAATAGATTGAACAGATCACACAGAATTATTTGCTTGTTTAATGTTAGAATGGAAAACTAATAATGCGGCACTTTCTTATAAGAGAACTTATGTAGGACTGTAACTTTTGGCTGGACAGCTAAAGGTGTGAAATACACAAAACTGTACTATAAAACTTTTGGTTTTCCTTACATTGTGCCACTGCGATGTTCTTTGAAATCTGTAGATTTCTTCCATGGTAATTTTAAAGGATTCATGAAGTCTTCATAAAATACAGTATGGTTGTCCAGATTTATGTTATGTAAGTACTTTGTAACCAGTTGTGCAGTCTTTGAGGCTTGAGCTAGAAATAAGGATTAGCCAAAAAGAATAGTAAAAGTAGCTGATCTAAAGTACTGTTAACTACATTCAGAGTGGTTATGGACAGTCCAGACGGGAAGTTGAAGGAGGGAGGAAAACAAGAACAAATGTAAATTCTGCCTGCTTATGTTTTATGCTTAGAACACATTCTCTGCTTTCCACCTCTTAGACAAATTTGAACATTCTAGAGACTCACAAATGTTTCTTTCCTCCCTAGAACTGTTTTCCTGAAATCCTCATTTTTTTCCTGGATTTGTTGTTTACCCTCTTTTTTCCTAATAGTGTCACTTTCTTAATCCTTTATTTTCCCTTGCTTATGCTGGGTACAAATTGGTTAATATTCCTCAGACTCTTGACCAACCACTTGAGTTCTTCAGCCTTAGGTGTCCTGTACTTTCCCTGCCTCAGAAAAGATCCCCTCAGCTTTGAAAAATGTTGTCTTTGTTTGTCCAGGAATGAATGAATCAGGTTTTCCTGAGTATTTTTGCCATAAGCAATTTACACCTGTCCTGATGACAGGTTTTAGGTCAGATTTCACTTATTTTTTTTTTCTACTGTGTTGTACAGAGCATAAGTCAGTGTGTAGCTAACAATTGCTACCTCCTATGGTGTATAAGCTTACAGAATTTTCTTTTCATATGGCAGAAAGATGAGTTTTCTGAAGAGTTAGTTACTGTTCAAAAAGAAGAAAGAAATGGTCAAGAAGCATGCGAGGCTGTCATTAAAGACAAAGCAGAGGAACAAAAGCAGCAGGTTAGTTAGATTTTTTTTTAATTATTTTTTTTAACTAGAACTCTGTTTCTTAAAAAGGTTTGTGTATTGCTGGAAAGTTTATTGCTTTTCAGTCTTGAAGCCTCCCTTAAGATGGGTGTTATCAATGTAGTCTTTGTATTTCTCTTTCAATTTTTTTTTTAGTTACTCCTTTGCCTTCTATCCAATCCACATTCTTCCCTATGAATTTTATTTTTTTAGCCTTCTTTTTACTTGCCTATGTATCTCTTTTTCTTTTCTAAAATAATATTCTTTTCATAATCTTTTACCAGTTTTCCTTTGGTCCTATTGCCACAGTATTCTTAATGCAGATGTCCTCTTTGTGACCATTCCTCCTTCCTCAAGGGAGAGCACATTCTGCTTTCTCCTTTATAATAAGACTTAATGGAATACAGGAGGTAATAGAGGAGACTGCTCTTAGTATTCCCCAGAGCCCTAATATTGATATAACCCCTAGAGACAAGCTGTAAAAGTATGTGATTTGTAAGTAATATGCTATGAGAGAAGCCTCATACCTCTGAATTTGAACTAAGTAATGGTGGAAATTATGATGCTTTGTTGAATCATTAAGGTATTCATCAGGGAAAAAAAGTGGGTTTTCAACATTTTTCTTTCAGATGGTATCAGGTAAATTGCTTACAAATTCAGAAAGCATTACTGAGAAGAGAAACAATACTCTGTCTCCTACTCAGACTAAACAGGTATCTGCTGTTCATGTTGATTTTTTTTTGTTAGTCAAATTGATGGGAATTGCTGTGTACTCTCAAAGGAATTTTACTCCTTAATTCGATGTGTATTGTTATAGATTGGTGGGCTTTGTCTTCTCATTTACAGCATTACAAAAATCCAACACAAAACAAGCACTATTCACACTTTTGCAACAGTGTGAGTAACAGGAAAGCAGTCATGGTAAAAACATGATGGAACACAACTACAGCTGTCAGCAGTTCAGTATGACACCATGTCACAGATAATCTGCTGTACTATTGGTCCGACACTATACACCAAATAAATAACAGAACTCAGCATCAAATTGTCATCTTCACCCTCACCTCAAAACTCTTAAGTTACATTTCAGTTGCCAAAATTCCATGCAGCAGAAATCATAGATGAGTTCCAAAGTATGGATTGCATGTTGAGGACAATGCACAAAAGGAAATTAGATAGTGAAAGATTGGGTATGCCTTTAGAACGATAAAAATCCTACCAGACCACCATGTTTTATTCATGGATATACAGTAAATGACTATGAAAGGTTCCAAATTGTCAATGAATAAATGTAGTCTTAGAAATACAGGCAATAAAAACACAGACCTACATTTTATGAGATTAATTCCTTTAGCTTAAAGAACATTTTGAAGCCTTGGGATCCTGGATGTAAATGTAAATAATTTACTATGTGAAATATTCTGGTAAATTGGAGTGGGTGGTAGTATATTTAAGTCTTCAGAAAGGTAGGATATATTGGTAATTGATTCAGAGCTCTAAAATTTCCATTTTGCAAGCTGATAACATAGACGGATACTACAAGACATTGAATAGTGATGTTTTGTAGAAATTCAACTAATATTAACATTCCCTTTAGTTCAATACAGAACGTCTCATAATCTGCTGATGAGCCAAAATTAAGACTAATTAATTTTGTTACCTCCATTCCAAGTCAATGGGAATTTCACCATTGACTTGGAGCCCAGATTTCACTCAAAATTTTGTGACTGTTCCAAAGAGAATTCCTCAGCAGAATCACCTCACCCAGCAGATGTCCATAGCTATATGTCTTGTTTTGCTAGGCCACAGCTTTGTCAGTCCTTGTCAGACTGCTCCTCAGCTGCCAAGAGGAGAAGTCAAGGCTATGTGAAACAGCAAATATCAGATGTGAAGTATGGCAGCTACGATGCCTCCACCCTTTTCATCACTCCATACTTCACTTAAAGAAGTAGCAGGTTCTTCTCACTAGAGCTTTTCTGTCTTCTGTTTCCATCCTTTCCAAGGAAAGACCTGGCCCATCCCCAGCCCTTCGTCTAGTTGGCCATCAATCTCTAATTTTGTCTATACTTCTGCAAGCTAGTTTTACAGTATTTGCTTCAGTAATAAATATCACCCTCTAAAAAGTGGCCTAAACCTTCTCATGGAACATTCATCCTCATGCTTCTTCAATCCCAGGTGCACACCAGGGCTAAAAGTCCTCCTGCTGCCAAAACCTGTCTGACAGTTTGCTCACTCACTGCCCACCTGACATTCTTTTCCCCAGTATTTTCCCCAGCGTCATTGTCCAGCAATGTCTGAAATAACTCTGAATTCTGTGATCTCCAGACAAGGTGACCATGAAACTGACAGCACATCCCTGCACTAAGATTCTAGATTAGTCACTGGAAGATTCCTACATTGTTGTGGCCTTCCTGTAGTTACCTGAATGTATGACACTGTGTGTACATGTGCGTAGACTCCTCAATAGGCAGAATGAATCTAGACCATTGATTTCATTCAGACAGTAGAGACTGGCTATTCAGAAATTTTGACCTATGTTTTTTTAAATATACCTGCTCAGAATTTAATATTCTAAAGAATTTTTCAACTTCTTAATATTTAATCAGATTTGGTTTATTAAATTTATTAGTGCAAGTCAGACAAAAACAGCCAGAATTTGCTACTGAAGTGCCTGTTAAAGCTTCATTTAAGAAAGACTTGCAAATTTGGTCAGGCTTAAAACTGAGAGAGTTACTTAGAACAATGCTGATAAGGGTAAAAGAGCTGGGTGATAGTCAAATTTGCAACCCCTAGAAAAATATATTGTATGAGTGTATTGGAATAAATTCTTAAAAATAACAATTTCTTAGGAATAGTTTACAATTAGTTAGAACCCCAATAAAAAAAACCTGAATACATGCAGAAGGAAGAAGTAACTCAGTATTTATTGTTTTCTGAGTAATTGGAAAGGGGAAAAAATGACACATTTCACCAAATTGGAAAGTCAATTATAACTTATGATTATTATATCCATGATATATTGATACTGAAAAATCTATATTAAAACCACAATATCTACAGGACCAGGGGACATGTGAGGTTCTATTACTTCTTTTTACTTTTATTTTGTTAATTTTGTGCACTGATGATTAGGTTATATTTAGAGCAATAAAGCAAAAAGAAAGCTGAAACGAATGTGCCGCTGCACTTTTGTACTGGATACTGCCAAAAAGACCTGGTTTGGAAGGCAATGACATCCAGTGTATCACCCAATTGATTTGAGTGAACAGTTTATAGGTGATAGAAATATTGCTTACTAGATTACATATTTTTGTATAGAACCCAACAACGAGACAATAGCATAAGAAAACATTATGAACACCTTTGATGAGAGCCCTGGCACAAATGAAATAGGCCTGAATATGTGATTACACATTTATATAAAAATCAAGAAGCAGAGAAGTAATTAATAAATCAGATAATGTCTTTGATGCTTTGTGATTAAAATTGATGCACTCGTGCCACATCCAATTCTTTTTGAAACATGATGAGAGGGATTTCTTTTTTATTCTGGATCCAAGATAATGTAAAAATGAGGGAAATATAAAATGCTTGGAAAATATCTTAAAGATGTTGGTTTAATTCTGTAAATCTTAAACATGACCAGTGACTCTCTTTCTCAAAGAATCAAAGTCCAGTAACTTGACTATTAATACATTTTTATTGCTATGTAACTGTTTCTCATGTAGATGTAATTAGGCCACCTCCTCCTCCAGCTTCCCCTTGCAAATGCTTTTATAAACAGCACCTACAGGAAATGTACAGGTTGTCCTTTGTTTATAGAAAGAGGTGCTTTATCTTTTATTGTTACTGTTATAATAAATGCTTATATATAATTATATCTTCTAGAATCTATCCGAAGAGTTTGAAATTCCAGTTAGCTGCTGCAAAATTTTCTGAGGAATTGTCCTTTTCCATGTATTTCCTCCTGCTTTTCAGAATACATTAAGTTTAATTAGAATAAATATTTCAAATATTGTTGCTAGCTTCTGCATGAAAAGGGGATGCATAGAAAGATAACTCATTCTCTTTCTCTGTTTTTCTTTTTCTTCTTCTTTCCTTTCTCTTCTTTCCCCTCCTTATTTAAGGAGAGGAATAAATTGGCTGATATTCCAATTATCTGTCCAGCTGGTAAGGATCTTGTTTCACAGGATACAGAGCTGTCATCTTCAGCCAAAGAGGATGGTTTACAGACTGAATTCCTGGCAGAAGAAATACCCTCCGGAGATGAATATGAGTGTATATCACCTGATGATATCTCTTTGCCACCACTTTCTGAGACACCAGAATCCAACTTCTTACATTCTGAAATGGAGCTAGAAGAGCAGTGCTGTTGCAGTTCTCATAGTCTGCATGTCAATTCCTATAGCTTGCAAATGCAGAAAAACACTAGTATTAAAAAAGCAATGGAAGCTTTTGATCTCTTAACAAATTCTGCTTATGCTACAAATAATAGAACGGAAAGCCCATCAGATCAGTTTGAGAAGTTTTGTATTTCTTCAACAGATTCTGGCCCAAAAGTCAGAGCAGTATCTCCTTTGACTTGTAGCTTACAAGGAATATCTGAAGCTAGTACCGCTTCCTGCACTGTGAATGCCAAACCAGTATATAGCATGATGAGTGAAGTGTGCAAAACACGTTTGCAACACCTTGAGTTTCATAAAAGCATGGCAGAAACACAAGAACAATTGCATGACTCAAATAACTGTACTAAAACCCAGGACAGGCTGCATGCTTTGCCTGATGCATTCTCAGGTTTTGTGTTTCAATTAGACGCCAACAGAAGCTGTCAGAGGCAGATGGTCACCCGAGAAGAGATTAAAAGTTCAACAGAAAAGAACAGCATGGCCAGCCTAACTGGACAGGCTCCTAACTTCTCCCAGCTTCTGTCTAACAAAACCGTCATGGAAGGTTCTCCAGTAACTTTGGAAGTAGAAGTAACAGGATTCCCAGAGCCTACACTGACATGGTGGGTAGCTTATAATGAGAAGTAGTAAATATACCTATTAGCAAGACACCCTGAACCACTTATAACCAAATTAATTACTCTATAGACTAGAATAAATGGCTTGTATCCTTTCTACTCCACACTTCTGCATGATTCCCACCTTCAAAATTGCTTTTAAAAATTAACCTACTTGAAATAATCTCTCTGTACTTAATTTTATGAATAATGAGAGCATCAAACTATTGCAAGCATATCCAATGTTTTTTAAGCAAATATATCGTATAGTTTTTATATTCTGGAATATGACATTCCACTTGTTCAATAATTTCTTAAAACAAATGCGCACTCCAGATTTACTGTAAGTAAATTCGTCTGCATTTTTTCAGGTTCTGGGCTCTATATATGGACGGACAGGCACATAGACGTGCGCACACGCTAAAATATTTATATAGCTGCTACATATACATAGAGACACACATTTCTATATATGTGAGAGTCAGTTGTCGAAAACTGGAGAGAGGTTACAGGTTAAAAAAATACCCCTTAATGTCTACACTAAGAGGACAAGTTTTGTGTTATATATTTGTATGCACTCTATCTCTCTCTCTGAATTACAGTATGTCTAATTAGATTGTTTTATACTGCATTTGTGAGAAATACAGATGATGTAATATAAACATCTTTTAAGATGACTTTTTAGAAATTCCCTGCTAAAGGGAAAAGGACTGAAAGGGGGGTAGGATTTCAAGGTTTTGGCAGTAGTCCTCTATGTGGTGGCATATTTTTCCTAAAATTTGACATCATTTGCCATTGCTCTACTTATTCCATTAGACTTTCACAATGGAGACCTTTCTTTTGAAGTATTAAAATTAGATATTCCTCTTATTGGAAATAATTTGATGTTAAGATTATTATTACACATGTAAAGAATTAGGCAAACTATAAGCTTTTAGTAAGCTGAATTTTCTTTTATGGTACTGAGAACAATACTGGATGCTGCAGCCTTGCTGCTATACTGTATTGGTATCAATAAAGTTACTTTGTTGTAAAACCCGGTATTCTACACTTTGAGGAGTATTGTTGGTGAAACAAGGGGTACCTTCAGTTTTATTTTATCATAAGAAAGCATTAATTTAGCTCAAAAATATATACACTATTGATATATGGTTTTTTGAAAAATAACATCCAACTGAAAGCATTTTGCAAATTAGAAATTTATGAAAACAGAAAAAATGTGGGGTTTTGTAATCAAAAATTCACCAATACCATGTATTTTGTACTGATGTAGACATTTTACTGCATATACATGTGGAAAAGCATATCTATATATGTGTTATGTAGACATTTTACTGCATATACATGTGGAAAAGCATATCTATATATGTGTTATGTAGACATTTTACTGCATATACATGTGGAAAAGCATTTCTATGTTTATGTTAAGTTAAATGTAGCTTATGCTGAAACATCACAAGGTAAGAAGAGCCAGAATTTTCCCTCGCTTCCAATATGTAAATCAGGAGTCAATACCAATATATGGTGACAGATCCTCAAGTCTTAGAATATGACACTAGTTCTCTGAAATAACTCCTGATGCATTGTTCTATCCTGTTTGATGGTTTGATGATGTGAACTAAGTAAATGTTAAGTGGGTTGGGGTGGAGGAACAGATCTTTGACTGTTCATTATACTGAAGACGCAAATTCAGAAAGTCTGTACATTGCTTATGCATCTTAGGAGCCTATTCATGAGTTGAATGTGGATTGACTCAACACCTTACTAGCAAAAACGTTTCAACACAAAACTGAGGGCCCAGGCCTTCATGGTACTCTCTCCAATACTGCAGTGAGATAACTGTGACTTGTCCATTGAAAACCATTTTCAGAACCACATTTTCTAGTATTAAGAATGTATTATCCAGCAATTTGAATCATTTAAATATTCATCCATATTTACATATAACTTTAAAAGTGAGGAATGAGAGCACAGTAGTGAGCTCTATCTCTTGCTGTCAATGTAGTGTTATAGAGGTTGTCTGAATTTGCAAAGTTCTGCTTGGTACACAGTAATACAAATCTAACTTGAAAACTGACTCTCTGCTTCAGGTACAAGAAGGGCCAGAAACTGACTGCAGATGAGCACTTAAAGCTTTTACAAAAGGAGACAAAGCATACTTTGTTCATTCAGAAGGTGTGTGATAAAGATGCTGGCCTCTATGTTGTTCGGGCTAAAAATTTGAACGGCACTATCTCATCAAGTGCTATTCTCCATGTGAAAGGTAACAGGCCACCTATTACAAGAATAGACTGGATAATGCTGTGTGTCATCTATATTAGCATATCACTAATGTACTGGCTATTCACAAAATAAGTACAATATTGACTGCACTGACTTAATTCTCACATGCTAAGACAACATTAAATTTATTTTCTTACGTAACTTTCACAATCTGTACCAAACCACTTTTATGTCACACTCAACATGTTGCTTGTTTCTTTAATACCAGTATTATGTCCTCATTTTCCTCTCTTATAGTGATGTTGAGATAAAAAAGTTACAAAGATTTTCTAGAATCTGGAGCAGACTTTTGCTTTCTAAAAATGTTGGCATTACAAAGTGTTTGAAACAGTCTTAATGGTTATAGGTATTAAATGTGAAGATACACCCAGGTCGAGTGCTCAGATCAACGTATATTTTGTGATATGACTTTTTGGGGGAGGGGGTGTAGAGGGTGTTGAAATGTTTTTTAAACATCAAATGTATTATTTCCAACCACATTTTTCTTATATGCATTTAAAATATTTTTATTTGTAGGATAAATCTTCTTAGTAAAGAAATCATACCATTCATGACTGCACTGGCATAGATCAGATTTAAATCTGTCTCAGCCCAGCAGATAGCCTCCACAAATGAAAGTTGCAATAGTTCCAATAGAGTTGTAATCGTCTGCACTACAAAGATTTGATCCAGAATCATCAGGATTTGTGTAAGTGGCACCTAGCATACAGTAGACCAAAAACCCCACATGTTTACAAAATGAGATGTTCCAACATACCAATCTGCTTAGGTAGGTGCTTGTGATACTTTCTCTGCCTTCTTATAAAATTAAAGATATAAATATTTCTAATAATCCACTAAATTGTTAGTATAAGACAAGAAAGATACTAGTTTGAGGTGAGCATTTGTGCATGTTTAAAATTTTTAACACACTGATTTCAAACAGATTCAACCAAATTGGGGAATACTCAAAAGTGTATTCACACACAAAAAAAATTTGTTTTATTTCAGTAAAATGGATTTCTCCTGTAACTTCAAAGCAGTAAATCCAAACCAGAACTTTGTTCACCTACATATTGCATTTCATTCTTGACAAGGACAACCACAAATATTATTTTTTATTAAAGCAGTCATTTGTTTAAGTATTTGATAACAATGACATAACTGTGCCAGTGGAAGATTTCATATATAAATCCTCAAATGTAACTTCATTCCTTAGCTCCAGTGCTTGTATTTGTACAGTAAAAACAATTGACAAACAGCTACTTGATTTTTCCTGCATCTTTGATTTGCAGCTTTCGTATTACAACTGCGTTGGTGTGGAAAATTTATAGAGAGGAAATATTTACTTTCTCTTGCACAATTTGCCGAATTAAGTAAGCCTTTTACTGTGTAGCATTCTATGAGCAGAGTATGTATTGCAAATTGCCAGAGGTCAGTGAGATTGAAGACTGACATTTAGATATTTTGGCCCAGTGACTGCAACTTTATTAAAATTCCTGTAACTTTGAAACAGGAGAAGTTCTCAAGGGAATATAACCTCACGGCAATATGAGAGGGAGCAGGAGGAGGAGGTGGTGAGCAGATGGGGGAACAAAGTAAATTCTAACTAAAATTAGTATTACCCTTAATGAACAATTTTCGAAGTTCAGTCATCTCCCCAAAATGTTGATTCATAAGAATTCGCTCAGGTATAAAAATCACCTATTTTCCTAAAGTGTACTTTCCATTTCACAATAAAGCTAATTTTTATGATTAGTATGATTTTGAATGTTTCAAATTTCATAGAAGTAAAATTCAGTTTAGTGGTTTTGTGCCCTTGTGACTTGATGTTATGATTGTTATAAACATACAGCAAAGAACCTATGTGAGCAAGCTGACTTGCATAAGTGGTACATTAAGCAATACTGTGCTAAGAACAAACCAAAATGTCTCTCCTACATGCTGTAAGGTTTTGCCTGCTGCAGAGGTGCCACTGCTTGATAGCTTTATCCTGTTCATAACACTTATTTTCTATTTGAAAATGAGTCCTCTAAGTGATGGCTGCCCTTTAATCCACTGTTTTTACTGAGAGTTGCCGTCACTCAAAAGTTAAAAGTAATCATGGATGTTCTTATGACTTGTTTTCTGCTTTTCTAAGTAACTTTATATAATACTCAGGTCACTTTTTCAGGCATTTTTGCCTCCAGTATTGGGGCTAAGTATATGCGCACAAAAAAAGCAGGAGTGAAAGCAGAGATGTTCTCTTTCCTCTACTGCTTTGCCCCTGACAGAATTAGGCCTTTAAATTAAGCATTAACTGTCATAAGGCTTGTGACAGAGTTACTGCAGCTCTATACATGCTGGGCTCAAAGCGGCATCTCTGTTTTAACTTGTGGATCCTTCATCTTCAAAACTATGGAAAGTTTAGTGCTAGAACGATTGTTGTTCTGTCTTTTTTTATATGGCCAGTGTGTGAGTTCAGAGATATGCATTTGATCTTTTGGGTTGGAGGAGAGCCGTTTGTTGAGCAAAACAACACTGTGAGGTGAATCTCTGTCCTTCAAAAAGCAAGGCTAGGGCTAGGATTCCGGCCCTGCTTGGAAAAAAAGTCCCAAACTCACTTGTAGTCTATCAAAGCAGGAGAAAAAGATTGGTACTACTATTGGTAGTTCATGTGCTGAGCAAGACATAAAAGTAGTTTATCATAATAGACTTTTTCAAGGCATTGCTAATTTGAGACGTGATTTGGGATTATATGCTCCAGGAAGGCTTTCCAGATGAGGAAGCTGTATTGACATGATGCCCCTGTAACTGTGCACTGCTATGATGTGGCGTTGAAACAGCATCGGTGCTCAATTTTATTGGCTGGAGAAGGACATTTTTAAGCCACTTCTATCTAGAAAGTCACTAAAGGAAAGCTGCCCTCTGCCCACAGAACTACAAAACCAGAAAGGTAGCAAAATGCCACACTTAGTGAGCTTAACAATCATTTTCCAGCTTGAACAATAAATGCCTGTTGCAACTGAAAAATTAGGTAGCCCAGATTTCAACAGAGCCTCACAGAAAAAAAAGATGTCAAGGGTGATCTTGTCTCCATCTATGCCAAGACAAAACAAAATTATTCCACTGAGGAAGGGTAGATTAATGCGGAGTTCTTTGTACACCCTGATTAAAATTATATGGGTCTAAACCTTATTGGGATCTTCCATATAGATTACCTGTCACCCGGAGAAGCCAGCTGCTTTTCTAAGGAAAGTGAGCCTCAGTTTTGTTATTCAGTTCAAAAGCAGCTGAAGTGGCTTATGATCTGCTCCTGTGCATCCACTTTCATTTTTACTCAAACATGTTATCTGTGAAAAGTAAGCTTCCGACTACTGGATTAGATCCTGGAATTGAGTTCCTATTTAAATGTTAAATAAGATCTTTCAAGTTTGACTTGTGAGAAGAAAGTGAGATGCAAAAGAATCCAACTTTTAAAATCCAAGTACACTATGATTTTCAAGAGTATACACAAGTATGGCATTCATGCTATTGCTATATAACAGACACTGTGAAGTAATAAAAGGTCAAAACAAACACCTTGTCACTTCTGAGAATGTCATTTTTGCATAGTCAGATATTATACTTATTAAATGCAAAAAGATATAAATATAAGGCCAGAAATTGGCTTAGCACATCTGTAGATCTTAATAAATCATTGTAGAAGTATGTAATCCCTTTGTTCATTAAACCTTTCCTCTGAGAATGTGAACATTTCTATGAATTTTAGATTAATAAAACTTGATTTTGTGAGTATGGTATTGCATCTACTTTAAATCAGGAATAGTTTTAAATGCACAGTTTTTAATGGGTATGTGGATACCAGCCACATTTTTAATTGCTGCAAGAAGCAAGATTTTTAAAAGAGAGAGATTAGAGATACCAGATACACAGCAGGATACTGAAAGTCCCTTGGTTTTAATGCTTTGCTTTGTAAACAAAGGTGTAATCAATGCTGATTACTGCTGTGTTGGCAGTCTGGGTTTAAATACTCTTTATTTAAGGACTCTAATGAATGCCCAAAAAATGTTGCTGGAAAATTCCTGTTTTTTTCTGTTCAGGTAATCTTAAAAAAAGAGTGACAGTGATGTAGTCTCAAGATACACTAATATTTCTCTGAAAGAAAACCACACTCATTCTGTTTCAGCAATAATTTCAACATAGTACTCCCCCCCCCCTTTTTTTTTTTAAAAAAAACATTCATGTTGTGCATGCTTCACGTCCTCTTTCTTTTAACCATACTGTAGAAGCAGGGAATAAATCTCGGTGTTCTGCATTGTTCTTGTTCTGCTACTTCCTTGTTTTGCAGTGCTGAGTTCTTCTCATCACAGTTACAGTCTTGAACTTATAGTTACTTCAAGACCCCAAAATGTTTACATCTTCCCAATTGTTCTCTTAAAGAGCAGTTTTAAATCTCAATCTCTCTAGCCTTACAACAAAAACATTGTACTTAGGCATATTACTAACCTAACCTCCCTTCCTCCTTCCCCATATGCAGACACCCATTAAGAAAGTGGTGAATGAGATTGTCTGACTACAAGATGTGGAGTTGTGTGAAAGAGTATTTACACAAGCTGCATAAGTTTGGAAGGGAAAGGGATTCATTATTTTCATTTTTCAAAAGAAGCAGCCTGTCTGAGGGCCCAGGTGTGAGTCAGTAGGCAAAGGGAGGATGAGGCATTCCCCTGGTTGGCTTTGGATCAGATGTGGCTGGAGCTGCAATGGAGAAGGTGACTTCCTCTCAAATGACTGGTAAGGTATGCGTATTTCTGGACCTTTCTTGGGAGACTTTGCTAGGGTAAGCTAGTAATTCTTGTGTGTGTACATCTTTTGTGGCTCAGAGAAGCTATGTCTTTAAAAATTACTGCTCAGACTTCCTTTAATGAGCCTACACCATGGTATTCAAGTAGACTCTGGATTATGGATATTTCAGAACAATTGGGTCATGAGACCCACTTGGTATTCCTTAAGAAAATTCCTTCTGATTGTGTTAGGAGCTTGACTGAGACAAAAGCTCTAAACAATAAAGTGCAGTGTATTAATTTAAAGCAATGCTGAGCGAACCCAAAGTC